CAAGAAACAGACAACACCTTACCTGAGCTTGGAATCCGAGCAGATAACTTTATTTCCGCACGTTTTACTCCGAATACTTACTAACTTAATCTTCGGAGGCAGACCACCGACCATCCGGCGGTCCGTTTGCTTTGCAGGTACAAACACCCTTTGCTGAATCCAGTCTCAGTGTTGTAACTCTCCCAAGGGACAAAAACCCCCGAAACAGTATCAATTGCAACACTTTTTTTGTGAAGCAAAAAATGAGCCTAGTTTGACTCATCATTTATCTTGGAGGAATTTTGCGAACACTTGGCACAAACAGGAAAATCAAATGTATACTTTTTGTTTGATAGACTAATGCGGCTAGTTTTGACCCTTCCTGTCTCAACAACTACCACTGAAAGAGCATTTTCGGTAATGAAGATCATGAAAACAAGACTACGTAACAAGATGGAGGATGAGTTTTTGGCCGATAGTTTAGTTATTTCCATTGAAAGGAAGATTTGTAAGTCATTTAGTACTAAGTCAATTATTAATGATTTCAAATTATTAAAAGAAAGACGAGCCTTACTTTAATAGTTTGCTAAAGGAATATATTGTGACATTTGTATGAGAAAGAATTAGATTGTGACACTTGCATTTTTTTAAAAAAAAATTGTTTGGTAATATTTATTATATTTAGTTATATTCTTATACTCCTTGTTATTGTTTTAGACGTATACTTATCTTAGATATAAATGGCCCCCGAAAGAAAAGGTTTCAAGATCCGCCACTGCTGTTGGTGAACCATGTAAATCTGTGTGTGTTATTTATTTATTTTGCATTCGTTAATTTATTCTTTCTCACATCCGTTATAACAATTAAAATTGTGGGCTTATGAAATTTGGGTCATCGATCACACTAAAGTACTAAACACAACACATGACACTAAGATTCTAAGGGCATGTGTTGGTAAGACTGTAAGAGTATGGCCTTGTTTGGCAAATGGTTGTTGGCGGTAACAAGCCAAAAGCCAACAAAAAAGCTACTAAAAGCAGCTTTTTCATTTTGGCTTAAAAGCCAGCTTTTTCGCTGACTAAAAAGCCAATTACCAAACATATTTATTGGTTGTTTGACCACCTAAAAAAGCCAAAAGCCAAAAGCTAACCAAAAAGCCATTAAAAAGCCAATTACCAAACATGGCCTATATATATATATATATATATATATATATATATATATATATATATATATATATATATATATATTTGATTAGAAACGAATTCAATTAAACTATAATTGTTATCAAGTTTTTGGTGTTTGGGTGACATTTACCATTTTCTCAGGGTAACGGTTTCCATTTATTTATTACCTCTTTAAAACCTAAGGTAACTATTAACCTTAACGACTTAACCTCATCAAACAAAAAGAGAGGGAGATAAGTAAAACCGTATAAGTAATTCATTTTCATGGTTAAACCAAACACATAAAAAGATAAAGACTCAAAAAATTCCTTTTCTCGCGCTTAATTATTTTTTTTCACTTTATTTCTAATCTATTAATTATTACTAAAACAAACATGCTGACATCATTAATGGACACATGTCAATTTTTTATTAAAAATTTTCCCACCTAAATTATTTTTGACATCATAATTTCCTTTTTTTTTTCTATATTCCAAAACTGAATAAATACGATGTTTCTTTCAAAATTAATGAATAAGATTATAATTTTTTTTAAATATAAAATTAACAACTAATTAAACAAATAATGGCTACTTAATTCGTGCAACGTACGGGAGATTAAATTAGTATTCATACTAGACGGTAAAGGCTACACATACTAGACGCACCCTAAACCCAATATAGTCATTTGACTTTGGCTTGTAAAATAACCCGCCTTTTAATGTTTCCTTACACAGTTAAACTGCATAATTTCCAAAATGGCAAAATCCATTAGTGTTGCTGTTGCACAGTTGCACTGATAAGACTAGACTACACTCCGTATTTGATGCGTGATGCGTCACCCTGCTAGAAAGCGTGATCAACTGATCATACTCAAAATGACCAAAATTCATCATTATAGTTGCAATTTAAATGGGTAAATTGTAAATCACAATTTTACAAAAATAAATTTAGTTTTCTTGTTCATTTCGCTTTACGTAGTATTAATTTTGGGATGTTTTTGATGATTTTCAGCATCTCTTACTTTTCATCAATCATTCGTGGTTCAGGTAATCTACCGCCTTCTTCTTTCCCTAATTTTCTTCGAAATGCTTTTTTATTTTTTTTTCATTATCATGTGATTTTTTTACTTGATTTTGAGTTTTTTCCTTTACACTACGTTTTTTTTTTCTTCTTATTTCCTAAATTCTTTGGTCCTTTTTCTGAAAATTAATTAAAAAAAAAAGGTATGGCCTTTTTATTGAGCACATTAAATTAATAAAAACGATTCTTGGTATTTAACATTTTTAATGAGATCAATGAAAAATAAACCGTTTTTTGAATTGAGGTGCGAAGTACATCGGTTGTGTGGTATGAATTGAAGAATGAATTCCAATTTTAATTTTAATTTTTTGAAATACAAAAGTAAATAAACTTTCTCCCTCCAATTGATGTGTTACATTGGTTTTATACCATTATCATTTATATGTTGATAAAGCCCTAGTAAAACAATATGCAATAATCTATAGAATGTTTTAAAATTATAATTCGACTTTAGTATTTTTTAGCGTTAACTAATAACTCGCCGATATAAAATTTGGGTACGGGTATGCAATTCGCTACCTAGTAATGTTAAATTAGGCCAAAATGTACCAAGTCACATAATGTATCTTTGTTGGTTCATGTTATGTGGGGGATTTGTGTTATAACTTGTTGGCGGACTTGGCCTTATGCCTGGTGGGTCAAATGACTCACCAGGGCCCAAAATATTTTTTATGTTTTTTAAAAAAAAATAAAAAAACAAATTATTTTCTAAGTTTTTTTTTTAAAAAAAAAAATACTAACTTTGAACCTTTTGTTAATGTTGTTGGGTTTTTGATGAAATGTGAACCTAATGCTTGTACAAATTTTAATCTTGTCAATTATTAGTTTGTTAATAATTAGAGAGCTAAGCTTGTCATGTTGTCAATTATTAGCTTGTTAATTATTAGTTTGTTAATTTTAGTCTTGTCAATTTTAAGCTTGTTAATTATTAGTTAGTACTGTAATCTTGTCAATTTTCTATTTGGATGATCTTTGTAAATAATTTTTCTTGAGAATTTTGGTAAATTTTTTCTTTTTACATATTTGGTTATCAATTGTGACTCACCAGTCGGAAATTCCTGGGTCCGCCAGTATCTATGGTAATGTTTGCAATATTCTTATTTTTTTTTTTTTTTTGAAGCATGTTCTTATTTTGATATATGGAGATGAGCTTATGGTGTTAACAAGTGAGATTGGAAATGGGTTTATATCTTTATGATGTTAAATTGGGAATTAATCAGCAATTTTGTATAGGAAAGGAATAACTAACAAGCCGAGAATTAGTTTGATCGTCTAATAAGTAAGTCTCCCCTCTATCATAATTTTGGGCGTTGCAATGGGTATGTTGTATGTATCATGTATGTCAATCACTTTTCAGAACTTCAAAAATTTGAAGTTTAATTGTTCTTATGCAAGTTGGAGTGTTTAGTATAATAGTATATTGCACGGGTTCTCAAAATTAATAGTTCCAAACATGTGACATTATGGTGCGCCCCTTCTAGAAGTATAATGTTGCCTCGTCCCGTGGTGGAGCCAGGATTTTAACAATGGTAGGGCACCTACTACTAAAACACTTTTATCATGCTCTTAAAAAATTTTTTTAAAAAAAAAAATTCAAGACACATCTACGTACTACAATAGGACAATAAGCAAGAAAAAAAATAGACACATCTACGTACCGCAATAAAAAAAAAAAAAATCAAGACACATCTACGTACCACAATAGGACATTAAGCCAAAAAAAAAAAAAGGACATTAAGCATAGAAAGAATAAAGAGAGAATAAAAAAATGACACTTAGAAAAAAAAAAAAAAGAATTAAAAAAAATAAGGATATTAAGCATAGAAAGAATAAGGAGAATATAAAAAAAATAAGGACACTAAGAAAATTAAAAAATTAAAAAAAAAGGGAAAAAATAAATGTTGGGTAAGGGATTAGAACCCATGACCTTGGGTAAACAAAGTAATGTGCTATGTTCCAAGTTTCCAACCACTAGGCTACTGGAAGTTTAAATAACATAGTACACTTTGTATTCTTTTTAAATACATTTTTAGTAACTTTTTTTTTTTAAGGAAAAAAATCTGCAAGGGCACGTGCCCTACCAGGACCTATAGTGGCTCCGCCACTGGCCTCGTCCCTTGGATAATGAATAATGAGGTTCTTGTTTTTGGTTGTAATTTAGGGCTTTGTTAGTTAGACCTTACTTTTATTGGAACTTGCTTTGTATACTCTAGTATAATATTTGACTATTAGTTGCTTGGACCTTTTACTTTATTTCAAATCCTCGTGTTGAGTCTTCGACATTGACATGGGTACGGAGCTATGAACTTTTGCTTCTCTTTGGTTAAAGATGCTTAGGACACTTACTCATATCTATTGTGAGTTCTTGAGTATGAGTTATATTGAGTGGTGTGTTTATAGTCGTTGCAGAATATATTGATATTTGATAAAGAAAGTAGTTGTCTTGTACTAATTAGGCATTTTCACTATTCTGGCTTATCTAGTATCTACTAATGCATTACTCCATCAAACCTGCAAGAAAGTCCACATATCAAGCTGCAACATCCTGTTGAGTGCAAGGGCTAAGAAAATATCCTTAATCTCCTTTCTTCAAACCTTTGTCAGTAACTGTATTTTTATACAAATAAGGTTACTGGATCCTAGATGTGATAGTTATGCTGTTAACACGCTCTGATGTGTGAGGGTCATACGCCGTTTGTTAAATGTCACACTGATTTTTTTAGAAGAATGTGAAATTAATGTGTTACCGAGTAGAAAAACGTGCTTGTAAAATCTTACCTGTTCACATAGATCTTTTCCTATTGTGCATCAGAAGCTGTCAGATTTAAGATCAGTATTTATGGTTGGCGTTAGTTATTCATAATTGGCACTTGTGATATGCCAATATACCTTGGCTATGCATTAGGGGTCCAGTAGTCCACTACAGGGTTTGATCATGCCATATACCGTGGCTATGTATTTGTTGTTAATGTTGTTAAGCTGATAGAGATTTTTCTTGCAAATTTACATTGCATGCAAAATTGAGTCCTGTATGTAAAATTTAAGTATGTCAATAGCATACAGAGATTTGTCTCCTTTTTGTGGTTGAATTTTAGGCTCTTGTTCTAACTCTGTTGATATTTTTGCATGGCTTGGTTCTGATTTCAGGGTCTGAAAAGTGTTTCAAGCAATATGCTTAAGATATTGGTCAATCCTGAACTGAATTTGGTGTGACATCTTCTTCAAAGAACTTCCAACTTCTGTGACTCAAACAGGTGAAATGGCTAATCATTCTACTTGTAATTTGTAATCGTTAGAATCCTGTGTTAGTATAGAAATGAACTATTTTACCAAATTTCTGTCCAATTTTGGTGCATCAAGTGCTTAATTTTGTAGAGTACTAAAGATGATTCAAATTTCATTTGCAGTTTTACATGACTAACAACTATGAGAGTTGCATTAATTAATTTTCTGTTGGTAAATAGGTCAGAGAATGTTCATGATCTTTTTGGGCTCTCCTAAATTAGGTTAAGGCACCTTAGCCGACTGATTATATGAGTAAAAGTTGGGATAAGCAAGCTGTGAAGAAATGGATCCAATAGTTTTTATTTTTCTTTTATGTTTAGTGACTATTAGGTTATCAGAAACAAGGTTATTCGCAAGAAGGTAGTTGTGGTAGGCATTGCAGACAAACTACGAAAAAATTGTGTGCATTGCTTTGGGCATGTAAAACGGAGACCCGAGGGTGCACCGGTAAGAAGAGTGGAAGGGTGGGACAATGGAGGGGTTAAACGAGGGAGAGGGAGACCGAAAATGACTTGGTTGGAAAGATAGGAAGGATATAAAATTTTTGGATTTATATGAGGATTAGCCATTGGATCGTAAGGGATGGAGGAGGATCTTCGTCGATGATTACACGGAATAATCAAATTTGGTTTATGTGGCCGACCCCACTTATGAGATTATTACTTTGATTGAATGATTGTTTGATAGTGACTATTACGTTATCGCAGATGTTTTGTGGTTGCCACTTGTTGGAAAATGAAGCTTACTGAGGGAATGGTCTGGCTGTTGTGATTTTTTACTTGTAATAATATGGGATGAAATCAATCTTGATGAAAACATGAGTCCATAACAATTTCCATGACATAAAAATTTCTACTACATCAAGTATAAGATAGAAAAATAATGTCACTGCTTGAATGACTGAAAACAAACGGTCGAACAATGTCAAACTAGCTAGGAAATTTTATTAGGTCCTTTTTTCAGAAAGTTTATTCTTTTTGCCTTAGGTTCTTTTCCATGCTTTAAAAAAAATAAATAAAATTATAAGCAGTTATTGTGATTTTTGAACTGGATTTGTAACGACATCTGCCATAGTTTTCTGATTTCTTTGTCTGTAAAAAGTTAAAATGATGAACCCTTCAATGCTAGAAATGCCAAAGTCATTTGATATGTCATTTGTGGGAAGGATACCATTTTACTAAATGTTTCTTTGTTTTTGATTGTTTAGTTAAGAGTTCAATTGCTATCTTTCTATATTAAATCAGTTACTATTGTCTAATGATGATAAATTCGTTCTTAATTTGATGGTTTAACGAAGAGTTCAAGTTCAACTCTGCTATATCTGTTATTGATGATGTTGCCAACTTGACAAAAAAGTAACCATGCAATTTGTGTAGAATTTTTAGCTGATGATTCAATGAGATCTAGCTAGTGTTTGACATTATGACTGTCAGGTTGTAGGTCTTATGTCTTAATACAACTTTTTTTTTTTGGTTAGATATGTTTTCGTACAGTTGACTAATTGAGCTGCAGTAATTCAGGTTTCTGATTCCTTTAAAGTATGTTAAGGAATTTCAGTCCCACATCGGTTAGTTTAGAGAAAAACACTTTCTTTATATTATTGTGTCTTCACAATAGGGTTGTCTCTTTGGAGACATCTGATAAAATTGGAACGATACAGAGAAGATTAGCATGGCCCCTGCGCAAGGATGACACGCACAAATCGAGAAATGGTCCAAATTTTTTTGTCCTTTTCTGCCCTTCCAATGTTTAAGTAATAAGTAATGCGTTTATGGTTTTGGTCCATCTTGAACTAAATTTGGTATGCCATCGTCCATGAAAAATTTCGATTTCTTTGCCTCAAACAGTCCAATGGCAAATTCTTCTGTACTTGTTGTGCCAGTTTCATTAATTATTATAGAAATGGTCTATCTTACTGAACTTTTCAGTTGCAAGATTTTGTAGACTAGTAAAAATTCTGTGAATCTCATTTGCAGTTTAATTAAGAGAGTTGCATTAATAAATTTCCTGCCGGTAATTGTCAGGTTGGAGGATTCTCCTTATTTTACTCGTGGCACCTGACTTGACTGAAGATTCGAGTAAAAGTTGGCATCAAAAGATATACAATTGTGGGTCGAAATCTGGCATCATAACTGGTATTTGTTTGGAGGTCTTTCACTATGGGATAGAAGAAGAAGATGGAAATAGGAAGAAGATGAATGAAAATTGAGGAAATACAGGCACGTGAGTTAAATGCGAGAGTCAATCATAAAATGTTTGGTCAACGCCAGAAAATGGAGTAAGCTTTCATCTTTGAAAAATGTTAAATTTTATTTCTCGCAAATTTTTTTATATAAAAAGGTTGTTTCCGATAAATTTTCCAAATTTTCATTCCATTTGTTCAAGATGGAAGTTTGACATGCTCTAGACTTACATTGCCTTACCCCTTAAAATGATATTAATGTGTGATAAACATGTCTTCATATTTTAACCAAATCCACAAGATCTTATCACCTCTAGTTACATCATTAATGCATTACTTATCCAAATACTTCAGACATCAGAATAATAGTAGGAGTACCAAGTTCCAAACTCTTAAATAAGGAGGAATGTACCACATCGAAAAGAAATGATGAAGCTATTGCAACTTCAGGAAATATAAGACACAGGATTAGACCTGTCAAATCATACCTTTCTCGGCCTTTTGGCTAAGATCAAGTGTAGTATCTGTTCTTATCAGTTTAATATCTGATACGTGGGCCAATGGCCCACAACGATATTAAATTTATTTTTTAAGGGGGAAGATCCACCACAGTAGCTTGCTGCTGGGATCTTCAAGCGTCGCCCATGTGTTGCACTACTGCATGGGCCTGGCGTACCCCACCAATATTAGTTAAGTTTAGCTTTAATGCACGGGTCTGGCCCTCACAATTAATTTGATAATTTTGTATTCTGCCATGTTTCTTTACTGCTCTTTCATATTTGCATACTTTGAAAACAGGACCATTGATAATAAAAAAATTGATGTATTGAAAGACAACCCAATAACATATTATAGGTAATAAAATTTACTTTATGTATTAGTTGGTCAAAGATAAGTAAATAGTGGCAAAGTTGATGCCTACTTTAATACAGTCCAAACATTTCTCCCTTGTATCTTTCTCCAATTTTGGGGGCTTTCTGCTCCTTTTGGCTGGTTGTGTTTCTTTCTGAAGTTTGTTTCTTGTAGCTCTCACTAATAATTTTATTACTCTAAATTCAGATATGGAGTGCTTATATTGTCCTGACTTGCGGCGTATGCTTGATACCTGCACAGCTTCATTAGAGTGCCACAATGTATCAGGGACTTCTGCAAGGTACTATAAATTTAGTAACTTTTTGCTTATAATCATCTACCAAAGCTCATTTATCTGACTCTGATTAAGTCGGAGTTGGTGCTGGCATTAAGAGGTTCTGGTGGAAAATGAAATTTACTTCATCCTTAAGAATGTAATAAATAAACATTAACAAAAGTTAGAGCAACATTATGTGAGGGGTAGGTGTTATACTGTTGTATTGTTATTATCAACATAATGTAATTTGGTTAGATAAGTTTATATTATCAATTGATATATACTTGGAGAGTACAACAGCTGTTGGCTTGTGGGATACAAACTTCCACTTTTTTTTTTAATGGAAGCTCCAGTTAAGGAACTCCCTCCAAAAATAAACGTATGTCTGTGAAAGAATAGTTCGCTCTGTGCTCACTGCATGACTGTGTGAAGATAATTGCAACAGGTTTTGTTATTTATACCGTAAATTCCTAGCTTAAATCTTCTTTCTTGACTTGATGTGGGGTGGTAGTGCTGGTCCTTTACATGGTTGGTGTCATATGGGACTGAGACAAGATTTCATTTTTTGGCTATTGCTTCCTCAGTATGTCTGTCTTTTGGTTTTACATTTGAGTTTCAGTTAAATATGAATCTGAAATACCGTTTGGCCATGAGGACTAAAAGTAAAAGATGGTTGATGTACAGATTTCTCTGGTCCTCTGGATAGTAGTTGTAAATTCTACTTGACTGTCAGTTTGTTCATTTTGTGTTGAAAATATTGATACACTGGAGGTTCAAGATGATGTATGTGTGAGAAACAAACTGCCAGAGTTTTCATTCTGTGTTGAAAATATTGACATCCTGGAGGTTCAAGATGCTGTAATTTAACAAGTGATCCCCATTTATCGTATGTAAGGGAAGAAACATAACATCATTTTACAGCATTGGTGTTAATTTGCTGGGACTGTAAGATTTTCTATGGTTGGATTCTTTGGCTTAAGTTTTAACTGCAATTCATATACCTTTATTCTAAAAACCGTCAATCTACCATTGGCTTCAGTTTTAGCCAGAATTCCCTATACCTTTATTCAAAAATCCGTCAATCTAGTATGACACTTAATGCTAATTACTCTGTGAAGCTTATTCTACTTATGTTGTTCTGTTTTAATTCAATTTTGCTTCTTCCAATATTCAATGTTGCTTTATTTTTTCTTTAAATACAAACTGAAATGCGGTTCTTCATTGACTTTCCTTTTGTTGAACACTTGAACCCTTGCCAAACAGATGGTAGATTTTGATTAATTCTTACTAGGTCATGATTGTGTACAAATGTACACATGCCATTTAAATTCACTTGGAATTAATTATTTTCGAGGAGTGTTACTGCTTTATTTCACCATTTCCATTATTTCTAACGAGTTAACTGTAAATTGTACAGGGGCCGCGCGAACGCAGGCCCCCACTATCACAAATTATGACGTACACTCTTCCTCTTGGGAAGATGTTAGGCAGGCACCCCTCCGAATGTGCAATGGAGGCCACCAGCCTAGGCCATGGGCCTTCTTGATCGCCCATTGACCCCGTCCAGGTAAGTAATTTGTTTGGTCATACTCAGTTTTGTTTTATATTCATCTCTAATGAACTCCCCTTGTTATTTAGTTGATGTGGGACAATATCCAACATTGCAAAACTGATTTTAATCTTGTATATGTAGTGAATGAAATTATAAATTATTGGTTCAGTATGCATATTAGTATCAATTTTACATATCATGTACTGAATACTGAAGATGGAATATTAGAACAAGCAATATATCATATTGACCAATCTGTGAATAGTAAAAAAAAAAACTGCACCAATTCATGCTTGGAGGTTATATGTGCCCTATGAAATATTGGAAAAAAATTAGATTTAGATGACTGAAATGCATTGACGTGTATTTAAATCAGTTATCAATCTTATTCGGATATGCCCCTGTATTTATGTGAAGACATGGCTTTAAGGATGAGGGGTAGTGTAAACTGCATGTAGATGATTTCTTTGTATCTATCTTGCTGGTGAGTAACGGTAATTTTATTTGAAGGGGAAGGTTTAATATTGCATTTGACCTCAGACCTATTAATGGATATTAGGATCAAAAGACTTATATGTTATATCTTATGCATTTGATCTCTACCTCATAACTTTGCACGCCAACCCTTGCATGATCTTTTATACAAGTAATTACTAATTATACTGACCAATAGTGCTTGAATTCTTTTGTTGGTGAAAGGGTGCACCAAGCAGGATTGTGTCAACTAAATAAAACCCAAGGCTCATGGTACGATGTTATTCTCTCTTTCAAGAATTGGTATGAGGACTTCACATTGTGTGTAAGAATGACAATTTGCGCCTTTGATGTAGTATGTGAAATGCCACCATTCTCCGTTTGAAAATGATGCTATTCATTTTGAATGATAAAAAGTCTTGATAAATTATAAGATTCCCATCATTTTTACTATATCTCCCTGGAACACCAATCGATTCATATCCTTGGTTGCTTGAATAATCCACATCACATATGTAATGTGCTATGTCAACTATCCCAGAGGCATGTACTTGACTCAAATTTAGACATTTAAGCATAATATCCCCCCCCCCAATAATATTTCCCCCCCCCCCTTTTACATTTACGAACTTATTGATTTCATTTCTTTACATCATGTTTTGGATCTTCTTGCTGCACACATACTGAAGTGTAAAAACAAAAGGCTGACAATTCCCTTCTTGTTCTGGCGCTTGCTAATCTGAATTGTACTTGTTGAGAAATATGCCTTGAATCGGTGACCGAGTAGGTACACGATCATGTAGTCCATTATACACGATCTCGTAGTCAGTGTTATTATGTACTCTTCAATATACACGACCGTGTGGTTCATGGTACATGGTCGTGTAGTTCCGCTACTACAAGATATGTCACATGGTCGTGTGGATCAAGGTACACGGTCGTGTGGTTTTGGTCCGTGTGGTTATTTAATGGGCTTTGGCCCAAATCAGTTTCTCTTTTGAAGAGTTCTATATTAATTATATACCCTTAGGGTTACTCCTAGCCGAATAAGTTGAGTGATTATTCATAAATCTCAGAGTTTTTTTGTCTATTTATTATGATGACATTTGAAATATGAGAGACAATCAATCGGTATTCTATGATTGGCCTCAAATCTGTTGTGAATATGCAATTTGTTTTCCCAAGATAAATAAAACTATTATTTTCGCCTGGTAGTAGGGTTGTACAAAGTGCAGTTTAGACCGCACCAAACCGCAAACCAAACCACAATTTTGCGGTTTGGTGCGGTTTCCAAAAATATTGAGACCAAACCGCGATTTTTATGCTATATTTTCATTAAAACTATACAAAAGAACTAAAATATTTGAGCTAATCTTTGACTATTAGTTAATTAGAGGTTAATAAAAAGAGTTTAATAGTTTAATTATAAACTAATAATTATAAAATAAAATTAAAGTTTTGTTTTAAAAAGAATAATTACAATTTTGATAAAATACGGTTAAACCGCAAACCACACCGCACCAAACCACATTTTATGGTGCGGTTTTTTTAAAAGTGCGGTTTGAAAAAATTACAAACCGCACTTTTGAGGTATGGTGTGGTTTATGATCCAAACCGCACAGTGAACACCCCTACCGGGTAGTGGACGTAGCCAACACATTGTTGGTGAACCACGTAAAATTGTGTGTGTTTTTCTTGTTAATTTCGCATTCAAGATTTGTTATTTCTCACCTTCGTTATAACAGTACTGATTCTTGTAGATTTTGCTCTCTTAATTGAAATCCTTCGCCGCTCTTGAAATGAGGAATAGAGGATGACAATGACGAAGATGTGAAAAAGCTGAGTGAGATTGTGTTTAAATGGTAATTCTCTTTTTATACTCTATTTGGACATTGTGTGAATTTTTCTCTTGTTTTTTTTTTTTACCAAATTAACAAATTCATGACAGAGTGTTGAGACTGAATACTGCTGGAGGTGGTGAAATATAGTTAAAGAGCTGTTAGCATGTAGCTAAAAAGTGAAAAGCTAAAGAAACTTGAATGTAAACGAGGGATTTTTAATGAGTATAACTTCCAAGGCTAAAAACTAAGGACTTACATAAAAAATCTTCACTAAATAGGGCGAAAACCTATAATAAATACAAACCTTTTCTACTTAGGGGGTGTCTGGTTTGTGGAGTAGTGTGGGTTTTCCATCAAGAATGAACTTAGGATTGTATCTTAGAGTAATACAATCCCATACCCCATGAGGATTCACTCAGACCCTTTTGAGAAAGGTTCACAACACATGGAAGTTTTAAGCAGACTTAGGGAATGTCCATTTTTGTTTGAATAAAACATTTCTTATGTAGCATTCTCAAATATTCACTCAAACCCTCTGTGTTTAAATAAATGAAACAATTTCCTTTTCCGGCCCTGTTTGAATAAATGACACTTTTCTTTTATAGTAACTTCTCTCTATTTTTTAATAATATTCTCTCTATTTTTAAATAACATGCTACTAACTAATAGTCTCAACAAAAACCCCTTACTCTCTCCACTCTCATCAACTTATACCCTACTACTTATTATATTTATAAATTCAACTAACCTTCCTAAAACTCAATCGGTGGTTCCCCGGGCATACCAGATTAAGCAAAAGAACATGACTTATAATTATAAAGAATATTATGAATTTATAAAAGAACACAACATTAAAATTTAAAGAACACAGTTTTCAACGTATTGATTTAAACACGGAGGGAGTATTAAACTAGGATGCATTCAGATTAATGTAAATACTGTATAAGTTTTGGATTGGGATCATTCTATGAACCGTGGTTTAAGATTTTTAATCGAAAGACTTAATTTCGAAAAAGACTTGTAAGATGAATCAGAATTTTAAAAACAAAAAAATTCCTAAGTTGAAATATACTTTTTTCTTCACAAATCAACCTTTTATCTTTTTCAATCCTTATTATCCAAAGAGTGAATCATACTTTTGACAACCTTAAACACATCTAGTACATTGTACACTTATTTTATCTTATATGAACTCACGATACTTTATTAGAATTTATTTTAGTTGTGATTTGAGCTTGAATAACACTTGTCATAACTTATTTTTCATAAAATAAGTGAAAATAAAGTAAATAACTATACTAAATCTATTTTAATTTAGGCATTCAATTTAGAAACTACTCTACTAAGTTCCTTCCTGTTCCATGCATTATTAAATTATCCACATAATTGGGTTATGTTCTCCTCAGCTGAAGCTTATAAGTTAATACTTCGTATAATATAGTATAAGAATTTATAAGTTTAACTAAGGTAAGGGTTGATATGTTCAGACAAGATAAGGGATAATAAATTCTATAAGGTTATATAATAAGGGTTGATATGTTCAGACAAGATAAGGGATAATAAATTCTATAAGGTTATATAATAAATTTTATAAGGTCCAATAAAGTCGAATAAGATAAGGTAAGGGTTGATTAACTCATATTAGATAAGGACTAATAACTTCATATAAGATAAGTGAAATTAAGGTAGAGAGAAATACTATTTTATATGATTCCTAAACAAAATCATTTTTTAATCTTCATGTATAGTGTTTTGATGAAGCTTCTACTTTGGACCTTCATACTTCTGTAGCTCTCTTTTTATGGTGTTCTTCTATGGAACTGAAAGCTGAGTTCCCATGCTGTTTGCTTTATATCCAGACTTCTTCAAGTCTTTTATGATCCAATCCTGCTCTTAGCTGTGCTTTTGGCCTATAGTTAAGGACTGCTGTACCACATCGAATAGAAGCGACGAGGGCAAGACAACTTCAGGAAATAAAAGGCAAGAGATTAAACTTACCAAATCATACCTTTCTCGGCCTTTTGGCTAAGATCAAGTGTAGTATCTGTTCTTATCAGTTTAATATCTGATACGTGGGTCAATGACCCACAACGATATTAAATTTATTTTTTAAGGGGGAAGATCCACCACAGTAGCTTGCTACTGGGATCTTCAAGCGTCGCCCATGCGTTGCAGTACTGCACGGGCCTGGCGCACCCCACCAATACTTAAACCAAAAGTCCAGTAGAAGGATCATGTCCCTTGATCTTTAAGTTAGGATGATATATTTAAAGCACGTTTAGATTATTGGGATTTTTAGGGCCTTTTTTCAGACAGTTTCCATTTGCCTGTTTCATGCATTGAAAAAAATTATAATTTATAAGCAAAGTTTTGGTGTTTTTGGTTCATTGTGAAGTACATTTGGTGCAAGCATGTGCCACATAAAATTTTAATTCTCTGCCTATAAACATGTCTTATGATGACTACTTCAGTGGTTTAAGTGCTAAAATCATTTGATCTTCTTTCTATTTTGATGGTTGACCAAAAAGTTCGATTGCATCTATTGCTATATCTTTTATGGGTGATAATCTCATTTGCAAATTATGAATAATCATTTCAGGTCTAGAATTACTGAAGGTCTGAGTTTTTGTGGTGATAACCAACAATCTATGATACCTAATTGATGTTATGAGTCATATGTGCTCGTTGCGTTGTTCTGAGTACATTAGCATAGGTACACTTGAGCAATATACAAGCATATTTGTATCCCCCATTGCTAAACTACTCCAATATAACAATCTTTATATTGTTCTATACATCATTTTGAGTTCTCTTCAGAGACATGATAAAATTGGAACGATATAGAGTTAGCATGGCCCCTACACAAGGATGACACAGAGATCGAGAAATGGTCTATTTTGGAAAAAAAAATCTATCCTCCCAGGGCTCTCATTCTCTGAAATAGGGGTTATGCTTGTCTATCCTATGAAGTTTTGCTGTCATTTAAAGCAAAAACCTCGTTCTTTATGTCAGATTGTCTTGATCTTTGATATACATGAATACTTATGGTTAATATCAAGATTTTCGTATCCTTTATATATCAGATGCAGAGGTCTTTGACTGACAATGATAATATTTTTGTGGGAGGGACTATTACCGTAGCTGTAATTGAATTTTTTGTGCACAATGCTAGTGCAATTCCTGGCACAACCCTACTGATTTATATTTCAAAGACAGGTTAGCGCTCTCTTATAGATTAACCTATGGAAAGATTAGATCAGTTCATTCTACCTTGTAGTATATTAACTTCTATTTGAGCTAGAGAGTAACCATCAGTTGTGCGGAACACCTTGAGTAGGCTTTCCTGGAAGTTTTAGTGAGTTATTAACTTGATACTTCATATATTGGATTTGGTAGCTTGAGATCATTTGAGTTTTGCAAATTCCTAGGTAAATCAGAGTCATTTTGATTTTGAAGCTATGATTCATAATTCAGCATTCCAAGTCTATGATACAAATGTTTGTATCTTTGTATGAAGTATTGACTGCGATACTTTTATCTTTTCTGAGACATCTTATAAATATGTAGTGATGCAGAGAATATTAGCATAGCCCTTGACCCATGTAATTCGAGAAATGGTTCAAAAATTAGTTAGATTTTAGTTTTTTTTTTTCGTCCTAAAAGCTTCCAGTTTCAGGTATCCATGTGAATATGTGATGCAATTTTCATGATAGAGAATGTAGATAGCGCTTGTTTATTAGAATGTGTCCACTGTCTAGTATACTCTTATTAGTCTAAACTTTTCCAATCAAGGACAGAAATGCAGCCCATTTTTGGGCTCTTGCCCGTGTTTGTCAACTAATTAGATCTAGTTGTATGTACAGTATATAGAAACTATTTGTCACAGTAATTGGTTTCATTCACGCAGTGCTTGATACCCTAATTTATAGCGAGTGCAGTCCACTAATCAATCCTCTTGTGGGGAGTTTCTATTCCCTCTAAGCAGCTTAAAATCTTTTTTCTGAAGCTTGCTTTTGTGACAACTCTGCCACTTAACAACTTTATTTGTTCTTCAAACTCAGGTTCGGTCGTATGAAGTGCTTAAATTGTCATGACTTACAAAATTATACTGTATATGGTTTGCACAAGGATCTGTAGCCCTCTGAACTCTTCTTGAATGCTAGGATGCCTCAGACTACAGCAAGGTATCAATAAAACTACTCCCTTCTGTTGCTCCATATGCGTAGGGTTATCTTAATTTTTGGTCGAACGAAATTAATGAAAGAACAATGGTGGTATTAAATATAGTGGTTGTGAGAATAAAGTTGGGGGTTCTCTAAACCAACAATAATATGGGACAAACATAGACGGTAAAGGGAGTAATATGTTCAATACAACAAAAGCTAGGTACTCTGTTATGTAATTGAAACTCAAATTGGCATATCCTCTAGTCTTCTATACAGTTAGTTGGAAATTTGACAAAAAATTTCACTTGGTTTATTGGAAGTTCCTGATAAGGAACTCCCTCCAAAAATAAACGTATGCCACTACATGCAGCGAGCACACGGTATTCTTTAGTAAAAGGCGAAAGAATAGTTCGCTCTGTGCTCACTGCATGGCTGCGTAATTAGTATACAGTCAGGCTTTGTTATTTATACCCTGCATTCCTAGATTGGAAATTCTTTCTTGACTAATGTGGGACTTTTTCATCTTTTTGTCGTACCTTGTTTGAAGTATGGAGTAGAATCCCACCAAACAAGAGATGTCTCTGCTTGCTGTCTCAGGGCAGATAATTCTACTGTGACAATGTCATTTGTTGCCTGTTTCATGTGTCTGAATTTCTTAATTGTACATTTGAAAAGTTTCTGCTGAATATATGAATAATTTTACAGCATTAGTTATGCTAGACTTCAACCATTCTCGAATGACTGAGTTGTCCCATCTTTGTGTTGAAATAACTGAAACCAGAACCTAGAGCTTAAAAAAAAAAAGAAAAGAAAAGAAAAATAAATAGCAGTTAACCTCCGACTACAGTACATGTGAGAAATGTATCGTTTGCAATATTGCTGTAGTTTAATGAACCCTGATAAAGTAAGCACTTGTAAATCCAAAAGCAAAAATATGGAAGTGAAGAGAGAGAACAGTTAATGTATTGATTTCATGTATGTGACTTATATACACTATAAATTCAAAACTGTATTCTTGTTATATATATTGATTTCATGTTGCTTAATATTGACATCAGCTCAGGTTGTTTCTTGTGCTCTTTATAATTTAATCAGAGTTTATGGTATGGCACTGAATACAAGTACACTCTTCCTCTTTGGGAAGATGTTAGGTAAGCATCCCTCACAAAGTGCAATGGAGGCTACCTTCCTAGGCCATGGAAATTTTTTATCACCCATCAACCCCGACCAGGTAAGTATGTTTCTCAGTCCTCCATGGTTTCTTTATATATCTATGTTGTCCTTCTTAATTTCGGTAGTCCGATGATGCGGGACAATCACTAAATATCCTATAAGGCTATAATATAGCTGAAAATCGAGTGTCAAATAAGGTCAACATGTAATCAAAAGATTATAAGGCACATTTTTGTTTTTGTTGTCACTGCTAATGCATTGACTCTAATTTGCCAAAGTCAGTGATTTTCATGAATTTTCTTATTTTGTATCATCGTGAATGACTGGAACAGTGGAACATCTATTTATGCAAGTGAAGTGAAAGGCAACTGGTGTTGAGGAACTAAGGAGGGTGTATTGTCTTTGTAATTTAACACTAATAGTGTTGAATGAATTTAGAAATTAGTGTGATTTTGGCTTTAATAGTGTTGAATGAATTTCCATTTGATTTTTTGAATTCATTGGAAGTCGGAATACTGAAGAAGCTAAAGGAAAGGAGATAGAGGAAAAGGGGCCTTTTTCTTCTTTTAGAATTTGGAGTGTGTGCTCAGTTTGTAGGGATTCCATTTAGCAACCATGTATAAAATAGGTTAGACGAACTACCTACTTATGGTGAAATGTTTAGCAACTAGTGGAAGGTCATTTAGCTTTCTAATCCTAAATGATCTAGGATTTAGGTAGTAACGTAGTATGTAGTTTTATAACTTAAGTTATAAGTAGGAGTTTATAGGGTCATTGTAAAGATTGTCCGTGGTTCTATGCACAACCAACTGTGTAGGAATTCCAGTTTTTGGCAAGTACCTCACTTGTGTGGCGTATTACTTCTAAGCAATATTGTGTGGTTTTGAGCCCTTGTAAAACCTTTTTTTTTTTTTTTTTTTTGCTTTGTCAGGGTTTTGAGATTGTGTGTTTTGTTAACCTGGAAAGAACTTGAGTTGGATGATAATTAGTATATCCCTTGAAATCAAAGTCATCATTATCATATTTGAAGGCATTTTTAGAGTTTGTGCAATTGTAAAAGGTAACAGATTTGAGCTAGCTTCTTGCATCTAATCCAAATGTAGATATTGTAATTGGGTTTTTTAAGAGAGCACGGATCATTCTATTTATAACCTCATTGTTATTCATTGAGCTCAGCTCTTGCCTTCCATACTGCTGGCCTTTCTGAGAATAGAAGTATTGGTGTATGTAAGGGAGAAAAGTTTGTGATTACATATTACATTTTGGGTTGCAGACTTGCATATCTAAGGACTGATGTGAAGATTAGCAAGTCTTCAACTCCTTGACACTTGTTAACTGGTGTTTATGCTACTGCTGAAGTGAAGGCGTCATTTCTTACCACAGGCTGGGGCTAATACATAATGTCCAAGCTTTTTTAAAGAGAAGGAATTTCTTTGGTATATGCCTTGTAGGTTGTAGCCTTATGCTTGAGGACTCGTAAGGGCTAAACTGTTTGTAGTTGCGATGAGCTGAATGACTTCAGGGGTTGATATTATTCTCATCTATGCCTGTGGATGTAGCTAATGCATATTGCAGTGGATCATGTAAAAATTGTGTGCCATTGTGCTCCTATGGCTTTATCACATCAGCTATAACAGTTACCCTTAGCTTTGTAATTATAGAATATAGTGGTTTTGAGTATTTTGTTTAAAGTAATGCTTGTCTACTTAAGTAGATCACGAGCAAGTGCCTGACTATAGATCTTTTATTTGGCTGGTGCTTAGTTTCAGTATACCTTTGCTTTTATCATTTTACTTCAAGAAAGTAAAGCGTGCTTGTAAAATCTTACCTGTTCACATAGATCTTTTCCTATTGTGCATCAGAAGCTGTCAGATTTAAGATCAGTATTTATGGTTGGCGTTAGTTATTCATAATTGGCACTTGTGATATGCCAATATACCTTGGCTATGCATTAGGGGTCCAGTAGTCCACTACAGGGTTTGATCATGCCATATACCGTGGCTATGTATTTGTTGTTAATGTTGTTAAGCTGATAGAGATTTTTCTTGCAAATTTACATTGCATGCAAAATTGAGTCCTGTATGTAAAATTTAAGTATGTCAATAGCATACAGAGATTTGTCTCCTTTTTGTGGTTGAATTTTAGGCTCTTGTTCTAACTCTGTTGATATTTTTGCATGGCTTGGTTCTGATTTCAGGGTCTGAAAAGTGTTTCAAGCAATATGCTTAAGATATTGGTCAATCCTGAACTGAATTTGGTGTGACATCTTCTTCAAAGAACTTCCAACTTCTGTGACTCAAACAGGTGAAATGGCTAATCATTCTACTTGTAATTTGTAATCGTTAGAATCCTGTGTTAGTATAGAAATGAACTATTTTACCAAATTTCTGTCCAATTTTGGTGCATCAAGTGCTTAATTTTGTAGAGTACTAAAGATGATTCAAATTTCATTTGCAGTTTTACATGACTAACAACTATGAGAGTTGCATTAATTAATTTTCTGTTGGTAAATAGGTCAGAGAATGTTCATGATCTTTTTGGGCTCTCCTAAATTAGGTTAAGGCACCTTAGCCGACTGATTATATGAGTAAAAGTTGGGATAAGCAAGCTGTGAAGAAATGGATCCAATAGTTTTTATTTTTCTTTTATGTTTAGTGACTATTAGGTTATCAGAAACAAGGTTATTCGCAAGAAGGTAGTTGTGGTAGGCATTGCAGACAAACTACGAAAAAATTGTGTGCATTGCTTTGGGCATGTAAAACGGAGACCCGAGGGTGCACCGGTAAGAAGAGTGGAAGGGTGGGACAATGGAGGGGTTAAACGAGGGAGAGGGAGACCGAAAATGACTTGGTTGGAAAGATAGGAAGGATATAAAATTTTTGGATTTATATGAGGATTAGCCATTGGATCGTAAGGGATGGAGGAGGATCTTCGTCGATGATTACACGGAATAATCAAATTTGGTTTATGTGGCCGACCCCACTTATGAGATTATTACTTTGATTGAATGATTGTTTGATAGTGACTATTACGTTATCGCAGATGTTTTGTGGTTGCCACTTGTTGGAAAATGAAGCTTACTGAGGGAATGGTCTGGCTGTTGTGATTTTTTACTTGTAATAATATGGGATGAAATCAATCTTGATGAAAACATGAGTCCATAACAATTTCCATGACATAAAAATTTCTACTACATCAAGTATAAGATAGAAAAATAATGTCACTGCTTGAATGACTGAAAACAAACGGTCGAACAATGTCAAACTAGCTAGGAAATTTTATTAGGTCCTTTTTTCAGAAAGTTTATTCTTTTTGCCTTAGGTTCTTTTCCATGCTTTAAAAAAAATAAATAAAATTATAAGCAGTTATTGTGATTTTTGAACTGGATTTGTAACGACATCTGCCATAGTTTTCTGATTTCTTTGTCTGTAAAAAGTTAAAATGATGAACCCTTCAATGCTAGAAATGCCAAAGTCATTTGATATGTCATTTGTGGGAAGGATACCATTTTACTAAATGTTTCTTTGTTTTTGATTGTTTAGTTAAGAGTTCAATTGCTATCTTTCTATATTAAATCAGTTACTATTGTCTAATGATGATAAATTCGTTCTTAATTTGATGGTTTAACGAAGAGTTCAAGTTCAACTCTGCTATATCTGTTATTGATGATGTTGCCAACTTGACAAAAAAGTAACCATGCAATTTGTGTAGAATTTTTAGCTGATGATTCAATGAGATCTAGCTAGTGTTTGACATTATGACTGTCAGGTTGTAGGTCTTATGTCTTAATACAGCTTTTTTTTTTTGGTTAGATATGTTTTCGTACAGTTGACTAATTGAGCTGCAGTAATTCAGGTTTCTGATTCCTTTAAAGTATGTTAAGGAATTTCAGTCCCACATCGGTTAGTTTAGAGAAAAACACTTTCTTTATATTATTGTGTCTTCACAATAGGGTTGTCTCTTTGGAGACATCTGATAAAATTGGAACGATACAGAGAAGATTAGCATGGCCCCTGCGCAAGGATGACACGCACAAATCGAGAAATGGTCCAAATTTTTTTGTCCTTTTCTGCCCTTCCAATGTTTAAGTAATAAGTAATGCGTTTATGGTTTTGGTCCATCTTGAACTAAATTTGGTATGCCATCGTCCATGAAAAATTTCGATTTCTTTGCCTCAAACAGTCCAATGGCAAATTCTTCTGTACTTGTTGTGCCAGTTTCATTAATTATTATAGAAATGGTCTATCTTACTGAACTTTTCAGTTGCAAGATTTTGTAGACTAGTAAAAATTCTGTGAATCTCATTTGCAGTTTAATTAAGAGAGTTGCATTAATAAATTTCCTGCCGGTAATTGTCAGGTTGGAGGATTCTCCTTATTTTACTCGTGGCACCTGACTTGACTGAAGATTCGAGTAAAAGTTGGCATCAAAAGATATACAATTGTGGGTCGAAATCTGGCATCATAACTGGTATTTGTTTGGAGGTCTTTCACTATGGGATAGAAGAAGAAGATGGAAATAGGAAGAAGATGAATGAAAATTGAGGAAATACAGGCACGTGAGTTAAATGCGAGAGTCAATCATAAAATGTTTGGTCAACGCCAGAAAATGGAGTAAGCTTTCATCTTTGAAAAATGTTAAATTTTATTTCTCGCAAATTTTTTTATATAAAAAGGTTGTTTCCGATAAATTTTCCAAATTTTCATTCCATTTGTTCAAGATGGAAGTTTGACATGCTCTAGACTTACATTGCCTTACCCCTTAAAATGATATTAATGTGTGATAAACATGTCTTCATATTTTAACCAAATCCACAAGATCTTATCACCTCTAGTTACATCATTAATGCATTACTTATCCAAATACTTCAGACATCAGAATAATAGTAGGAGTACCAAGTTCCAAACTCTTAAATAAGGAGGAATGTACCACATCGAAAAGAAATGATGAAGCTATTGCAACTTCAGGAAATATAAGACACAGGATTAGACCTGTCAAATCATACCTTTCTCGGCCTTTTGGCTAAGATCAAGTGTAGTATCTGTTCTTATCAGTTTAATATCTGATACGTGGGCCAATGGCCCACAACGATATTAAATTTATTTTTTAAGGGGGAAGATCCACCACAGTAGCTTGCTGCTGGGATCTTCAAGCGTCGCCCATGTGTTGCACTACTGCATGGGCCTGGCGTACCCCACCAATATTAGTTAAGTTTAGCTTTAATGCACGGGTCTGGCCCTCACAATTAATTTGATAATTTTGTATTCTGCCATGTTTCTTTACTGCTCTTTCATATTTGCATACTTTGAAAACAGGACCATTGATAATAAAAAAATTGATGTATTGAAAGACAACCCAATAACATATTATAGGTAATAAAATTTACTTTATGTATTAGTTGGTCAAAGATAAGTAAATAGTGGCAAAGTTGATGCCTACTTTAATACAGTCCAAACATTTCTCCCTTGTATCTTTCTCCAATTTTGGGGGCTTTCTGCTCCTTTTGGCTGGTTGTGTTTCTTTCTGAAGTTTGTTTCTTGTAGCTCTCACTAATAATTTTATTACTCTAAATTCAGATATGGAGTGCTTATATTGTCCTGACTTGCGGCGTATGCTTGATACCTGCACAGCTTCATTAGAGTGCCACAATGTATCAGGGACTTCTGCAAGGTACTATAAATTTAGTAACTTTTTGCTTATAATCATCTACCAAAGCTCATTTATCTGACTCTGATTAAGTCGGAGTTGGTGCTGGCATTAAGAGGTTCTGGTGGAAAATGAAATTTACTTCATCCTTAAGAATGTAATAAATAAACATTAACAAAAGTTAGAGCAACATTATGTGAGGGGTAGGTGTTATACTGTTGTATTGTTATTATCAACATAATGTAATTTGGTTAGATAAGTTTATATTATCAATTGATATATACTTGGAGAGTACAACAGCTGTTGGCTTGTGGGATACAAACTTCCACTTTTTTTTTTAATGGAAGCTCCAGTTAAGGAACTCCCTCCAAAAATAAACGTATGTCTGTGAAAGAATAGTTCGCTCTGTGCTCACTGCATGACTGTGTGAAGATAATTGCAACAGGTTTTGTTATTTATACCGTAAATTCCTAGCTTAAATCTTCTTTCTTGACTTGATGTGGGGTGGTAGTGCTGGTCCTTTACATGGTTGGTGTCATATGGGACTGAGACAAGATTTCATTTTTTGGCTATTGCTTCCTCAGTATGTCTGTCTTTTGGTTTTACATTTGAGTTTCAGTTAAATATGAATCTGAAATACCGTTTGGCCATGAGGACTAAAAGTAAAAGATGGTTGATGTACAGATTTCTCTGGTCCTCTGGATAGTAGTTGTAAATTCTACTTGACTGTCAGTTTGTTCATTTTGTGTTGAAAATATTGATACACTGGAGGTTCAAGATGATGTATGTGTGAGAAACAAACTGCCAGAGTTTTCATTCTGTGTTGAAAATATTGACATCCTGGAGGTTCAAGATGCTGTAATTTAACAAGTGATCCCCATTTATCGTATGTAAGGGAAGAAACATAACATCATTTTACAGCATTGGTGTTAATTTGCTGGGACTGTAAGATTTTCTATGGTTGGATTCTTTGGCTTAAGTTTTAACTGCAATTCATATACCTTTATTCTAAAAACCGTCAATCTACCATTGGCTTCAGTTTTAGCCAGAATTCCCTATACCTTTATTCAAAAATCCGTCAATCTAGTATGACACTTAATGCTAATTACTCTGTGAAGCTTATTCTACTTATGTTGTTCTGTTTTAATTCAATTTTGCTTCTTCCAATATTCAATGTTGCTTTATTTTTTCTTTAAATACAAACTGAAATGCGGTTCTTCATTGACTTTCCTTTTGTTGAACACTTGAACCCTTGCCAAACAGATGGTAGATTTTGATTAATTCTTACTAGGTCATGATTGTGTACAAATGTACACATGCCATTTAAATTCACTTGGAATTAATTATTTTCGAGGAGTGTTACTGCTTTATTTCACCATTTCCATTATTTCTAACGAGTTAACTGTAAATTGTACAGGGGCCGCGCGAACGCAGGCCCCCACTATCACAAATTATGACGTACACTCTTCCTCTTGGGAAGATGTTAGGCAGGCACCCCTCCGAATGTGCAATGGAGGCCACCAGCCTAGGCCATGGGCCTTCTTGATCGCCCATTGACCCCGTCCAGGTAAGTAATTTGTTTGGTCATACTCAGTTTTGTTTTATATTCATCTCTAATGAACTCCCCTTGTTATTTAGTTGATGTGGGACAATATCCAACATTGCAAAACTGATTTTAATCTTGTATATGTAGTGAATGAAATTATAAATTATTGGTTCAGTATGCATATTAGTATCAATTTTACATATCATGTACTGAATACTGAAGATGGAATATTAGAACAAGCAATATATCATATTGACCAATCTGTGAATAGTAAAAAAAAAAACTGCACCAATTCATGCTTGGAGGTTATATGTGCCCTATGAAATATTGGAAAAAAATTAGATTTAGATGACTGAAATGCATTGACGTGTATTTAAATCAGTTATCAATCTTATTCGGATATGCCCCTGTATTTATGTGAAGACATGGCTTTAAGGATGAGGGGTAGTGTAAACTGCATGTAGATGATTTCTTTGTATCTATCTTGCTGGTGAGTAACGGTAATTTTATTTGAAGGGGAAGGTTTAATATTGCATTTGACCTCAGACCTATTAATGGATATTAGGATCAAAAGACTTATATGTTATATCTTATGCATTTGATCTCTACCTCATAACTTTGCACGCCAACCCTTGCATGATCTTTTATACAAGTAATTACTAATTATACTGACCAATAGTGCTTGAATTCTTTTGTTGGTGAAAGGGTGCACTAAGCAGGATTGTGTCAACTAAATAAAACCCAAGGCTCATGGTACGATGTTATTCTCTCTTTCAAGAATTGGTATGAGGACTTCACATTGTGTGTAAGAATGACAATTTGCGCCTTTGATGTAGTATGTGAAATGCCACCATTCTCCGTTTGAAAATGATGCTATTCATTTTGAATGATAAAAAGTCTTGATAAATTATAAGATTCCCATCATTTTTACTATATCTCCCTGGAACACCAATCGATTCATATCCTTGGTTGCTTGAATAATCCACATCACATATGTAATGTGCTATGTCAACTATCCCAGAGGCATGTACTTGACTCAAATTTAGACATTTAAGCATAATATCCCCCCCCCCAATAATATTTCCCCCCCCCCTTTTACATTTACGAACTTATTGATTTCATTTCTTTACATCATGTTTTGGATCTTCTTGCTGCACACATACTGAAGTGTAAAAACAAAAGGCTGACAATTCCCTTCTTGTTCTGGCGCTTGCTAATCTGAATTGTACTTGTTGAGAAATATGCCTTGAATCGGTGACCGAGTAGGTACACGATCATGTAGTCCATTATACACGATCTCGTAGTCAGTGTTATTATGTACTCTTCAATATACACGACCGTGTGGTTCATGGTACATGGTCGTGTAGTTCCGCTACTACAAGATATGTCACATGGTCGTGTGGATCAAGGTACACGGTCGTGTGGTTTTGGTCCGTGTGGTTATTTAATGGGCTTTGGCCCAAATCAGTTTCTCTTTTGAAGAGTTCTATATTAATTATATACCCTTAGGGTTACTCCTAGCCGAATAAGTTGAGTGATTATTCATAAATCTCAGAGTTTTTTTGTCTATTTATTATGATGACATTTGAAATATGAGAGACAATCAATCGGTATTCTATGATTGGCCTCAAATCTGTTGTGAATATGCAATTTGTTTTCCCAAGATAAATAAAACTATTATTTTCGCCTGGTAGTAGGGTTGTACAAAGTGCAGTTTAGACCGCACCAAACCGCAAACCAAACCACAATTTTGCGGTTTGGTGCGGTTTCCAAAAATATTGAGACCAAACCGCGATTTTTATGCTATATTTTCATTAAAACTATACAAAAGAACTAAAATATTTGAGCTAATCTTTGACTATTAGTTAATTAGAGGTTAATAAAAAGAGTTTAATAGTTTAATTATAAACTAATAATTATAAAATAAAATTAAAGTTTTGTTTTAAAAAGAATAATTACAATTTTGATAAAATACGGTTAAACCGCAAACCACACCGCACCAAACCACATTTTATGGTGCGGTTTTTTTAAAAGTGCGGTTTGAAAAAATTACAAACCGCACTTTTGAGGTATGGTGTGGTTTATGATCCAAACCGCACAGTGAACACCCCTACCGGGTAGTGGACGTAGCCAACACATTGTTGGTGAACCACGTAAAATTGTGTGTGTTTTTCTTGTTAATTTCGCATTCAAGATTTGTTATTTCTCACCTTCGTTATAACAGTACTGATTCTTGTAGATTTTGCTCTCTTAATTGAAATCCTTCGCCGCTCTTGAAATGAGGAATAGAGGATGACAATGACGAAGATGTGAAAAAGCTGAGTGAGATTGTGTTTAAATGGTAATTCTCTTTTTATACTCTATTTGGACATTGTGTGAATTTTTCTCTTGTTTTTTTTTTTACCAAATTAACAAATTCATGACAGAGTGTTGAGACTGAATACTGCTGGAGGTGGTGAAATATAGTTAAAGAGCTGTTAGCATGTAGCTAAAAAGTGAAAAGCTAAAGAAACTTGAATGTAAACGAGGGATTTTTAATGAGTATAACTTCCAAGGCTAAAAACTAAGGACTTACATAAAAAATCTTCACTAAATAGGGCGAAAACCTATAATAAATACAAACCTTTTCTACTTAGGGGGTGTCTGGTTTGTGGAGTAGTGTGGGTTTTCCATCAAGAATGAACTTAGGATTGTATCTTAGAGTAATACAATCCCATACCCCATGAGGATTCACTCAGACCCTTTTGAGAAAGGTTCACAACACATGGAAGTTTTAAGCAGACTTAGGGAATGTCCATTTTTGTTTGAATAAAACATTTCTTATGTAGCATTCTCAAATATTCACTCAAACCCTCTGTGTTTAAATAAATGAAACAATTTCCTTTTCCGGCCCTGTTTGAATAAATGACACTTTTCTTTTATAGTAACTTCTCTCTATTTTTTAATAATATTCTCTCTATTTTTAAATAACATGCTACTAACTAATAGTCTCAACAAAAACCCCTTACTCTCTCCACTCTCATCAACTTATACCCTACTACTTATTATATTTATAAATTCAACTAACCTTCCTAAAACTCAATCGGTGGTTCCCCGGGCATACCAGATTAAGCAAAAGAACATGACTTATAATTATAAAGAATATTATGAATTTATAAAAGAACACAACATTAAAATTTAAAGAACACAGTTTTCAACGTATTGATTTAAACACGGAGGGAGTATTAAACTAGGATGCATTCAGATTAATGTAAATACTGTATAAGTTTTGGATTGGGATCATTCTATGAACCGTGGTTTAAGATTTTTAATCGAAAGACTTAATTTCGAAAAAGACTTGTAAGATGAATCAGAATTTTAAAAACAAAAAAAATTCCTAAGTTGAAATATACTTTTTTCTTCACAAATCAACCTTTTATCTTTTTCAATCCTTATTATCCAAAGAGTGAATCATACTTTTGACAACCTTAAACACATCTAGTACATTGTACACTTATTTTATCTTATATGAACTCACGATACTTTATTAGAATTTATTTTAGTTGTGATTTGAGCTTGAATAACACTTGTCATAACTTATTTTTCATAAAATAAGTGAAAATAAAGTAAATAACTATACTAAATCTATTTTAATTTAGGCATTCAATTTAGAAACTACTCTACTAAGTTCCTTCCTGTTCCATGCATTATTAAATTATCCACATAATTGGGTTATGTTCTCCTCAGCTGAAGCTTATAAGTTAATACTTCGTATAATATAGTATAAGAATTTATAAGTTTAACTAAGGTAAGGGTTGATATGTTCAGACAAGATAAGGGATAATAAATTCTATAAGGTTATATAATAAGGGTTGATATGTTCAGACAAGATAAGGGATAATAAATTCTATAAGGTTATATAATAAATTTTATAAGGTCCAATAAAGTCGAATAAGATAAGGTAAGGGTTGATTAACTCATATTAGATAAGGACTAATAACTTCATATAAGATAAGTGAAATTAAGGTAGAGAGAAATACTATTTTATATGATTCCTAAACAAAATCATTTTTTAATCTTCATGTATAGTGTTTTGATGAAGCTTCTACTTTGGACCTTCATACTTCTGTAGCTCTCTTTTTATGGTGTTCTTCTATGGAACTGAAAGCTGAGTTCCCATGCTGTTTGCTTTATATCCAGACTTCTTCAAGTCTTTTATGATCCAATCCTGCTCTTAGCTGTGCTTTTGGCCTATAGTTAAGGACTGCTGTACCACATCGAATAGAAGCGACGAGGGCAAGACAACTTCAGGAAATAAAAGGCAAGAGATTAAACTTACCAAATCATACCTTTCTCGGCCTTTTGGCTAAGATCAAGTGTAGTATCTGTTCTTATCAGTTTAATATCTGATACGTGGGTCAATGACCCACAACGATATTAAATTTATTTTTTAAGGGGGAAGATCCACCACAGTAGCTTGCTACTGGGATCTTCAAGCGTCGCCCATGCGTTGCAGTACTGCACGGGCCTGGCGCACCCCACCAATACTTAAACCAAAAGTCCAGTAGAAGGATCATGTCCCTTGATCTTTAAGTTAGGATGATATATTTAAAGCACGTTTAGATTATTGGGATTTTTAGGGCCTTTTTTCAGACAGTTTCCATTTGCCTGTTTCATGCATTGAAAAAAATTATAATTTATAAGCAAAGTTTTGGTGTTTTTGGTTCATTGTGAAGTACATTTGGTGCAAGCATGTGCCACATAAAATTTTAATTCTCTGCCTATAAACATGTCTTATGATGACTACTTCAGTGGTTTAAGTGCTAAAATCATTTGATCTTCTTTCTATTTTGATGGTTGACCAAAAAGTTCGATTGCATCTATTGCTATATCTTTTATGGGTGATAATCTCATTTGCAAATTATGAATAATCATTTCAGGTCTAGAATTACTGAAGGTCTGAGTTTTTGTGGTGATAACCAACAATCTATGATACCTAATTGATGTTATGAGTCATATGTGCTCGTTGCGTTGTTCTGAGTACATTAGCATAGGTACACTTGAGCAATATACAAGCATATTTGTATCCCCCATTGCTAAACTACTCCAATATAACAATCTTTATATTGTTCTATACATCATTTTGAGTTCTCTTCAGAGACATGATAAAATTGGAACGATATAGAGTTAGCATGGCCCCTACACAAGGATGACACAGAGATCGAGAAATGGTCTATTTTGGAAAAAAAAATCTATCCTCCCAGGGCTCTCATTCTCTGAAATAGGGGTTATGCTTGTCTATCCTATGAAGTTTTGCTGTCATTTAAAGCAAAAACCTCGTTCTTTATGTCAGATTGTCTTGATCTTTGATATACATGAATACTTATGGTTAATATCAAGATTTTCGTATCCTTTATATATCAGATGCAGAGGTCTTTGACTGACAATGATAATATTTTTGTGGGAGGGACTATTACCGTAGCTGTAATTGAATTTTTTGTGCACAATGCTAGTGCAATTCCTGGCACAACCCTACTGATTTATATTTCAAAGACAGGTTAGCGCTCTCTTATAGATTAACCTATGGAAAGATTAGATCAGTTCATTCTACCTTGTAGTATATTAACTTCTATTTGAGCTAGAGAGTAACCATCAGTTGTGCGGAACACCTTGAGTAGGCTTTCCTGGAAGTTTTAGTGAGTTATTAACTTGATACTTCATATATTGGATTTGGTAGCTTGAGATCATTTGAGTTTTGCAAATTCCTAGGTAAATCAGAGTCATTTTGATTTTGAAGCTATGATTCATAATTCAGCATTCCAAGTCTATGATACAAATGTTTGTATCTTTGTATGAAGTATTGACTGCGATACTTTTATCTTTTCTGAGACATCTTATAAATATGTAGTGATGCAGAGAATATTAGCATAGCCCTTGACCCATGTAATTCGAGAAATGGTTCAAAAATTAGTTAGATTTTAGTTTTTTTTTTTTCGTCCTAAAAGCTTCCAGTTTCAGGTATCCATGTGAATATGTGATGCAATTTTCATGATAGAGAATGTAGATAGCGCTTGTTTATTAGAATGTGTCCACTGTCTAGTATACTCTTATTAGTCTAAACTTTTCCAATCAAGGACAGAAATGCAGCCCATTTTTGGGCTCTTGCCCGTGTTTGTCAACTAATTAGATCTAGTTGTATGTACAGTATATAGAAACTATTTGTCACAGTAATTGGTTTCATTCACGCAGTGCTTGATACCCTAATTTATAGCGAGTGCAGTCCACTAATCAATCCTCTTGTGGGGAGTTTCTATTCCCTCTAAGCAGCTTAAAATCTTTTTTCTGAAGCTTGCTTTTGTGACAACTCTGCCACTTAACAACTTTATTTGTTCTTCAAACTCAGGTTCGGTCGTATGAAGTGCTTAAATTGTCATGACTTACAAAATTATACTGTATATGGTTTGCACAAGGATCTGTAGCCCTCTGAACTCTTCTTGAATGCTAGGATGCCTCAGACTACAGCAAGGTATCAATAAAACTACTCCCTTCTGTTGCTCCATATGCGTAGGGTTATCTTAATTTTTGGTCGAACGAAATTAATGAAAGAACAATGGTGGTATTAAATATAGTGGTTGTGAGAATAAAGTTGGGGGTTCTCTAAACCAACAATAATATGGGACAAACATAGACGGTAAAGGGAGTAATATGTTCAATACAACAAAAGCTAGGTACTCTGTTATGTAATTGAAACTCAAATTGGCATATCCTCTAGTCTTCTATACAGTTAGTTGGAAATTTGACAAAAAATTTCACTTGGTTTATTGGAAGTTCCTGATAAGGAACTCCCTCCAAAAATAAACGTATGCCACTACATGCAGCGAGCACACGGTATTCTTTAGTAAAAGGCGAAAGAATAGTTCGCTCTGTGCTCACTGCATGGCTGCGTAATTAGTATACAGTCAGGCTTTGTTATTTATACCCTGCATTCCTAGATTGGAAATTCTTTCTTGACTAATGTGGGACTTTTTCATCTTTTTGTCGTACCTTGTTTGAAGTATGGAGTAGAATCCCACCAAACAAGAGATGTCTCTGCTTGCTGTCTCAGGGCAGATAATTCTACTGTGACAATGTCATTTGTTGCCTGTTTCATGTGTCTGAATTTCTTAATTGTACATTTGAAAAGTTTCTGCTGAATATATGAATAATTTTACAGCATTAGTTATGCTAGACTTCAACCATTCTCGAATGACTGAGTTGTCCCATCTTTGTGTTGAAATAACTGAAACCAGAACCTAGAGCTTAAAAAAAAAAAGAAAAGAAAAGAAAAATAAATAGCAGTTAACCTCCGACTACAGTACATGTGAGAAATGTATCGTTTGCAATATTGCTGTAGTTTAATGAACCCTGATAAAGTAAGCACTTGTAAATCCAAAAGCAAAAATATGGAAGTGAAGAGAGAGAACAGTTAATGTATTGATTTCATGTATGTGACTTATATACACTATAAATTCAAAACTGTATTCTTGTTATATATATTGATTTCATGTTGCTTAATATTGACATCAGCTCAGGTTGTTTCTTGTGCTCTTTATAATTTAATCAGAGTTTATGGTATGGCACTGAATACAAGTACACTCTTCCTCTTTGGGAAGATGTTAGGTAAGCATCCCTCACAAAGTGCAATGGAGGCTACCTTCCTAGGCCATGGAAATTTTTTATCACCCATCAACCCCGACCAGGTAAGTATGTTTCTCAGTCCTCCATGGTTTCTTTATATATCTATGTTGTCCTTCTTAATTTCGGTAGTCCGATGATGCGGGACAATCACTAAATATCCTATAAGGCTATAATATAGCTGAAAATCGAGTGTCAAATAAGGTCAACATGTAATCAAAAGATTATAAGGCACATTTTTGTTTTTGTTGTCACTGCTAATGCATTGACTCTAATTTGCCAAAGTCAGTGATTTTCATGAATTTTCTTATTTTGTATCATCGTGAATGACTGGAACAGTGGAACATCTATTTATGCAAGTGAAGTGAAAGGCAACTGGTGTTGAGGAACTAAGGAGGGTGTATTGTCTTTGTAATTTAACACTAATAGTGTTGAATGAATTTAGAAATTAGTGTGATTTTGGCTTTAATAGTGTTGAATGAATTTCCATTTGATTTTTTGAATTCATTGGAAGTCGGAATACTGAAGAAGCTAAAGGAAAGGAGATAGAGGAAAAGGGGCCTTTTTCTTCTTTTAGAATTTGGAGTGTGTGCTCAGTTTGTAGGGATTCCATTTAGCAACCATGTATAAAATAGGTTAGACGAACTACCTACTTATGGTGAAATGTTTAGCAACTAGTGGAAGGTCATTTAGCTTTCTAATCCTAAATGATCTAGGATTTAGGTAGTAACGTAGTATGTAGTTTTATAACTTAAGTTATAAGTAGGAGTTTATAGGGTCATTGTAAAGATTGTCCGTGGTTCTATGCACAACCAACTGTGTAGGAATTCCAGTTTTTGGCAAGTACCTCACTTGTGTGGCGTATTACTTCTAAGCAATATTGTGTGGTTTTGAGCCCTTGTAAAACCTTTTTTTTTTTTTTTTTTTTGCTTTGTCAGGGTTTTGAGATTGTGTGTTTTGTTAACCTGGAAAGAACTTGAGTTGGATGATAATTAGTATATCCCTTGAAATCAAAGTCATCATTATCATATTTGAAGGCATTTTTAGAGTTTGTGCAATTGTAAAAGGTAACAGATTTGAGCTAGCTTCTTGCATCTAATCCAAATGTAGATATTGTAATTGGGTTTTTTAAGAGAGCACGGATCATTCTATTTATAACCTCATTGTTATTCATTGAGCTCAGCTCTTGCCTTCCATACTGCTGGCCTTTCTGAGAATAGAAGTATTGGTGTATGTAAGGGAGAAAAGTTTGTGATTACATATTACATTTTGGGTTGCAGACTTGCATATCTAAGGACTGATGTGAAGATTAGCAAGTCTTCAACTCCTTGACACTTGTTAACTGGTGTTTATGCTACTGCTGAAGTGAAGGCGTCATTTCTTACCACAGGCTGGGGCTAATACATAATGTCCAAGCTTTTTTAAAGAGAAGGAATTTCTTTGGTATATGCCTTGTAGGTTGTAGCCTTATGCTTGAGGACTCGTAAGGGCTAAACTGTTTGTAGTTGCGATGAGCTGAATGACTTCAGGGGTTGATATTATTCTCATCTATGCCTGTGGATGTAGCTAATGCATATTGCAGTGGATCATGTAAAAATTGTGTGCCATTGTGCTCCTATGGCTTTATCACATCAGCTATAACAGTTACCCTTAGCTTTGTAATTATAGAATATAGTGGTTTTGAGTATTTTGTTTAAAGTAATGCTTGTCTACTTAAGTAGATCACGAGCAAGTGCCTGACTATAGATCTTTTATTTGGCTGGTGCTTAGTTTCAGTATACCTTTGCTTTTATCATTTTACTTCAAGAAAGTAAAGAACGTATCCTTACTTTGTTGAAGCTTCTGTATTGAAAGGCGCTAGCTGATGTTTATTTAAAGTTTCTAGTTTTAGGGTCTTAGTGATTTATGCGTTTGAAATGTTTGCTACTGCTTTCCTCTGCTGTAACTTGCTGCTTATGTTACTTCCAGGCTTTGGAACTTCTGTTGAAAGTATTTCTGTTTGAAATGATCATCTCAAATTTCAAAACTTGACTTTCTCACACGGAGTAGCAGCAATCAAAGCTGGATTTTGCTGGAATGGCCAGCAAAATAGATAGAGGTATGTAAATTTTAGGAAGCATACCTTTTGGTCTTGTATGTATTTTGTCTATAAGATCAAGCATATTAGGTGTTTTATTAGTTTAATGTCTGAAACGTTTACATGATTCTAAGACGTACACGACTGTGTTAGTTAATGGCAGAATCATGAGATGCTTAATGTCCTAAGTTGGATTTCCCTACAACTTTTGAGTTTTAAGCTTGAACTTTGAGGTATAAATCGATGATTGTTTCCTGTTATGCAAGCATGACATGAAAACAAAACATAGTAATCAAGATTATCTTTTTTTCAAACTTTGTTTCTCTGCTGGGCTGAAAAAGCCAAGTCAAATAGTCAATCCTTGTTTCAATCAACTTAGTAATGTTTTGAAAAGGATTTCAAGCAGTTTGAGTACATAACTATAGGGGTTGTCTGCCTACCATTACAGCATTACCTAGCCCAATTTAGCTTGAATAGTCAGGCAGCCCAATAGGGGTTGACATTTATGTTATTTTTTACCAGTCATAAACTATGTTCACACCTATATATGTTAGGAAATTTTGCGAACAACTACCTATTAAATGACGCGTTTTGGAAACAACTACCTTTTAAATTTTTTTTTGAAACAACTACCACAAAAACTAAAAAAGTTTGAGTAGCACTACCTTGAGCACTATTTCGGCGAGAATCTCCGAGTGTGGGGCCCACCACTTACAATTTCCCTCCTAAAATCCCACTTGAATTGACGCATCTACCCCTGATTTAATTTCTCCCCCAACTACCTATCTTCCTCATCATTTATTTCCCGCCTAACTCCATTGTTCATTTTCTTCATGTACTCATCTCTGAAATTCAGAGAATATTCCCCCAGTTGTCTCTCTCTCTCTTCCATTTTCATTCACCCTCTCTCTCTCTTACGGTTGTGGTCCAAATTTAGCTGGAAAGGTTCTGCCTTTTCGTACTCTTGGCTGCTTTTTTGGGTAAAAAGAGAAGTCGGTGCCTTTAATGGAGCAATTGGAGATGGCGACAGCTAAAAAACGACAAAAAGTGGTCAAGACGAGGTACATTTCTGTAATTTATGGGAATTCTTTGCCTTTTTCATTGAAAACTGAAAACCCTAATTTTTTAATTGGGAATTGTTTAAACCCTATGTTATAAATTAAGCTAATTAACATTTAATTTAGTCATTGGAGTACTAATTAATCAAAAATGGAGTACTGTATGAGACAAATTAGTTGATTTTTATAATGTTAATTTATAATATGATTTGTGCTTGATGTATGTTTTGTTTGCTGTGACAATTATGCTTAGGGAAAATGTGTTGTTCTGCATGTGTTTGCTAATCTGTGATTGTTTGAATGCTAATTAGATTAATTAATTGTAGGACTACTCCTGAATATGTTGACATGAATATATGGGTTGGTGGGAAGTTTGAAAATAATAAGGGAAAGACTGAATACATAGGTGGTGGAATGTTTATGAAAATAAGTTGTTACTTGTCTCAAATGAGTGTCAGTAGTGTTAGAAGAGCAGTAATACAGGCTTATGACTTAGTTATGAAGAGAGTTCCCATGAACTTCAGTGTTTGGTTTAGGATGCATGGTAAGAACTTGACAAATGGTAGGAGGAAGGTGGAGACAGAGGAGGACTTAGTGAAGTTGGTAAAGTCAAGAGATTTGAATGATAGAGTGATTATATGGGCCTTATATGAACCAGGAGAACCAACTGCTAGGTCCAATTCAGTGAGGTCCAAAAACCCAACATATTTTCCACCTAGACTAATAGGCCAAACAAACATACCCAGCGTTGATAACACCAAAAAATCACCACCAAAAAAACTAAAACCCATTAAAAAAGAGACAGTGGGGGTGAGGAAGTGTCAGGTTATCCCCATTTAAAGTCAAGGATAGTGATGTGGACTTGGATGCAGAAGTTGTTACCAAAGAAGAGTATGACTTGCACATGGCTTCTTTAGCCTCAAAACCCTTACTCCATATTCACCCCAGCCCATTGCTTCTTCTCATAACAGCCCACCTACTTCTCAACCTACTCCCGTACCTACTCAAACTGTTTCTCAACCAACTGAAGCTGCTTCTCAACCTAAACCTACATTTGACTCCCTATCTAGTAAGGGAACACCTAGAAGGAAAACTGTTGCCACAAAGAAGAAAGCAGAAAAGGTTGCAGAGAAAAAAAAAAGAGGGAAAAGGGGAAGAAAGGGAATAAAAAAACAGAGAAAGGAAAGGGAAAGGCAGCTGTAAGTCTAGGGGTGGACTCTGATTGCAGTAGTGAAGGGGTGTGGTCTACAGATTCTGATAATTCAGATCTAGATGTTGATTTTGAGCCTAGTGAGGAAGATAATGTTGGTGTAGTTGGTGATGAGTTTTTTGAAGAGGGTCCATTTGAAAGAAAGGCAAAAGTTAAGACAGATCAATCTCAGTTTAGGGAAGAGAGGTTAACATAAGCAATCCTGAACAAGTTTAGGGTCCATTTGCAAGGATCAGATGATGAGATAGATCCTTATCCAACCTTCAATCCTGAAGTTGATTTCAAGAACAAGATTAACTTCACTCTAGGGCTTAAGTTTCCAAATGTTTTAGCAGTGAGGCAGGCAATTAGGCATCATAGTATTGAGAACAACTATGATTACTATCTATTGCACAATAGTAGGTTTAGGGTAACTGCTTACTGTAGGAATAGATGTCAGTCCTGTCCTTGGGATAAGAAGCATGGGAAGTTGAGAGAGTGCAAGTGTGATGATGAAAACAAATGTAGATTCAAGATCTATGTGAGACAGTTGCCAGGGGAGTCAACTATGCAGGTTAAGGGTTTGAGGCTTAACCACACATGTGGTTTCTATCATTCTAGTACAAAGGTGAGTTCTGAGTACTTGGTTGTGAAGTACCTTGATGATTGGAGAGCTAATCCAAATTGGAAGTTAGTCAGATTTGTGGAGAGGGTGTACAAAGATTTAGGTGTACATATAGGGTACTACAAAGCTTGGTATGCTAGGGCCAGGGCAAAATTGACTTTGTATGGGGATTCAGCCGAAGAGTATGCAAGAATCTTTGATTATGGGTTTGCAATTCTGAAGTATAACCCAGGTTCATCTGCAATTGTGGTCTTAGAAGGAATTGAGAGGCCTCCTCCCTTTTTTCAAAGGATGTATGTGTGTTTGGATGCATGTAAGGAGGGGTTTAAGAAAGGTTGCAGACCATTACTGGGTGTGGATGGATGTCATCTTAAAGGGGCATTTTCAGGGATGATTTTGGTTGTTGTCAGTAAAGATGGGAATAATAATATATTCCCTGTTGCTTGGGCAGTAGTGGAAACTGACAATAAAGATAGCTGGACTTGGTTCCTTGAGCTGCTGATCAAGGATGTGGGGTTTCCAAATGGGAAAGGTTTGACACTTGATAAGCAGAAGGTAAAATCACTCACCTTTATCATGTTCATTAACTTGTTCATTTAAGTTGTTAACTAAAGTAATTGGTTTATTTTTTTATGCTATTTCAGGGGTTAATAGAAGCAATTGCTGTCATGGCACCAGATGCAGAGGTGAGGTTCTGTGCAAGACATATATGGGCTAATTTTAAGCTCAAGTTCCATGGTGATACATTCAAGGAACATTTCTGGAAAGCAGCTAGGTGTAATAACAAGGTATGGCAGATCCAGTGACCTAACATGCATGTGACTAGAATTTTTTTTTTTGTGTGTGTGTGTGTGTGTGTTTGTGTGTTTAAACTTTTTGTTGATTTCATCAATTAGGTTGATTGTGAGGGTCATTTGGCATGCATTAGACTGTTGGATGAAGATGCATACAACTATTTAATTGCAATCCCTCCAGAGCATTGGGCAAGACATGCATTTAGAACAACATCTAATTCAAACATGTTGCTGAATAATCTATGTGAGACCTTTAATGCTGTTTTGAGAGAGGCTAAAGACAAGCCAATTATCACCTGTCTTGAATGGATCATGAGATATGTTATGAAGAGGAATACTGAAAAATGGGAGGGGGTTCAAGGACTTGAGGGCAAGTTTATGCCATATGTGAGCAAAGTATTCAAATGGATATCAAGTTATGCTTCTAAGTGCACTGTTGTTCCATCTAGGATGGATATATGGGAGGATGATTTTGAGGGTGACGGGTTTGTTGTCAATTTGAATGACAACACATGCACCTGCTTTCACTGGGAGTTGACTGGAATTCCCTGTCCTCATGCATAGGCTTGCATTGTTAAGAAAAGGCTAAGGCCTGAAGATTATGTTCATGAGTACTATACTAAGCAAACCTACCTGCAAGCTTATACACCAACCATCAAACCAATGCCTGGAATGGAGCAATGGGAGAAATCAGACATGGTACAACCTCTGCCACCATTAATGAAGAAGATGCCTGGCAGACCATCACTGAAAAAGAGAAGAAAAGAGAAAGGAGAAGATGAAGAGTCTAGGTTTGTCAAAAGGCCTAAGAGACAGAACAAGTGTTCCAATTGTGGTGTGCCAGGACACTACAAGAACAAATGCAAGAACCCTCCTGCCCCACCTAAGGAAGTAGACAAAGGTGGTAGGCCTTATGCTACTGATGAGTGGGCAATGGCACAAAGGAAAAAGAAAATGGACAGGAACCTTAGAAAGGTTAGATCCTTTTCCTATTTTATTGGTTCATTCTTTTTTTTTTACTATTTTTTTTATTTGTTTGCTGTACTTATTTATTAGTTAATCTGCAGGCATATGACCCACAACCAACCCAAGAAAGTCAAGCTGTTGTGACAGATGCTGAGGTTCAATGCAGTCAGGCAGGGTCATCCATAACTCAAGCTAAGGGAAAGGCAAAAGCAACTACTTCAAAGGGAAAGCCAAATGCACCTCCCAAAGGAAAGATGGCCATCAAGTCCAACAACAAGAACAAGCATTGGATGCCTTGATAGTTTAGGAAGAGGTCATGATGTAGGTTTTTAGTAATCTAGGCATAGTGTTTTGCAAAAGCTAGGCTAGTATATTCAGCTGTTTGCCTAAAACAATGTGTATGTCAAGTGTTCTTTTGCTATACATTTATAATCACTCAGTCATGTAATTCAGAATTTGGTCTATGTATGTGGTTTTTTTTTTTTAATTATGCAACAATGACCAGGGAGATATTATCTAACAAAAATTGCAATTATTTCACAAACTAATACTTTCATTTCATTCATTAGCAACAATTTTACAACCAACTTTGCACACATACATAGTTTATTGCCACTTGATTACAACATTAACAGAAAATTAGTGACAGTAACCTAATTGTGCATTACCTACTACAACTTAAGCAACTAAAAGCTTAGCTACAACTATTATCAGCATGGCAATTGCTGCATAAAAGATTACTGCATTGCAGCCTGTTTTGGCAGGGGAACAACCATCCATGGATGTGCACCTCAGCTTCTTGCTCAATTTTTCATTTTGTGCAACCAACCTAGCTTTCTGATCTTGTAGCAAGCACACCTCTTGTTTCAGATTACCAATTTCAGCCCTCATCAGCTTCTTCTCTAAGACAAGCTGGTTGGTTATCACCCTATGCCACTCCACAATTTCCTCATCAATCCAGTCAAAAAACTTGCAGCCACGCCTACCACTCATAGCATCATAAAATTTGCAGGCAACAAACCTCCTCCCAAGATTAGTGCTTGTCCAAGAAGTCTCAATTTTTGGGGGAATTCCACAATAGCATTTTGAAGGAAATGACCGAGCTGATTGATACGATGAATGAGACATGGTTGGAAGCAATTAATTGCTGCAAATACAACAATAGAAGTTTAATAATGAACCCTAAAATAGACAATACAAAAGAATTTGCCTAAATGTCACAATTTTTAAAAGCCTCAATTTCACTTATTCAAAACCAAGAACCCTAATTACAACATTCACTGTAGAAATTGAGTAATTAAAATGGGAGATTAGATATACATTACCTTGATTTGAGTTCGCCAAGCAATTTCCCTTGTTTTGCGCTCTTAATTTGAAGAGATTCAAAAAGTTAGGGTTTTAATTTGTGGAGAGGGTAAAACGAAGTTTGGTGGTTATAGACAGAGGAGAGAGATTTTAGGAGGGAAATTGAAAAGTGGTGGGCCCCACAGTCGGAGATTCTCGTCGAAATAGTGCTCGTGCTACTCAAACTTTTTTAGTTTTTGTGGTAGTTGTTTCAAAAAAAAAATTAAAAGATAGTTGTTTCCAAAACGTATCATTTAATAAGTAGTTGTTCGCAAAATTTCCTATATGTTATTATGATACATTTAACAAATCTAATTTCATTAACAAAGTTTTACTTCTGATTTTATATTTTAAGATGTAAATATTATTGTGATTATAATAGTAACTAAAATTCTTCGACTAGACTTGTTGGAAGCTCCTTTCAGGAACTCCCTCCAAAAATAAACGTATGCCACTGAATGCAGCGAGCACACGGTATTCTTTAGTAAAAGGCGAAAGAATAGTTCGCTCTGTGCTCACTGCGTGGCTTCGTGAGTTGTACAGATTTTCACTGAGTAATATATAATGCAATCCTGGCTTGGATCTTGTGTTATTGACCGATGTGGGACTTTACTATCGTCAATACTTACTAATGTGTCTTTGCCGCAGCAGTTTACATGAATATGGCAATATATGCTAGAGATAGAGCTAACTTGATACCAAAGCGCTATTGGAATTTGTCGACGGGTGAATTGGATTCTTCACATACAAGTACTTAGAATTATTGGTTTTGTTATTGTTGATTAACATTGTGATTCTTGTATGCTCGTATAGTCGTATATAGTGAAAACCGTAATATGCTCTATACTGAAGATTGTTTCATAGTTGTACAAATCCCTTCGGCTTTATTAATGTGTTTCAGACTTCAGAATTCGAATGCTTGATAATTGTTAGTTGCCAAAGATTAACAATTTTTGTGCACGGTAGGAGAAGCTGGCTGTTGGTGCCTTGGGTGGTACATATGTCACAGCCTTTTGGCTCAAAACAAGTGAACAATTGTTTTATATTGAAAATTGGGTTATGAATTTATGAGGAATCCTAAGAATTATACTACAGACGGAGCATACATTGATTGAAAGAAGGTAATGCAGTGAGCTTCATAGATTGACGCCAAAAAAAAAAAAAAAAAAAAAAAAAACGTGGACGGCAGGATTCGAACCTGCGCGGGCAAAGCCCACATGATTTCTAGTCATGCCCGATAACCACTCCGGCACGTCCACGTTGTTGTTAATAATCGGGAAATAAATAACAAGTATCTTATTGTTATTGTTATTATTAACAAAAATAAAATTTTTACAGTAGTCTTTTGAGAAAAGACTACCACAAGCCTAATGACGTGGCATAATTTAATTTGATGTCATAAGCTATGTCATCTTTGACTTTTCAAAGCCTTTTATAATTAAAATTCATTTCTTTAAATTCTAAAATCATTTTTTAATTTCCGAAAATCATTTTTTATAATTTCAGAAATTCTTTTTTGATTTAATAATTAATTTCAGAAAATAAAAATTTAATTAAAAATCAAAATAAAAAAAATAATAACAAAGATTGTTCTTCATTGTTCGTTCTTCATTGGTCTTCATTTCACTATCCAACATTAAAAATTTAATGCAAATTTGTTACAATTATTCACTAATTAGTTCAATGTTTCATTCTGAAGTCCGATGTTTAATTTTGTTCATCAATTCATTTTGTAGCAATTCGAAGTTTTCATTTTTCAATTTTTAGATTTTTGTTCTTACAAAATCTCAACCAAAAAACCGCATTATAATGTATTTGTTAAGGATGAATTACACGCATAGGTGTTTGGATATATCGCGGTGGTCGCCGGCATGGTGGTTTAGGTTGAATGATTGATATTTTTCCAAATGTATGCTTGGAGAAGACAACAATTCTTTTTTTGTTTTCGTCCCTCTTTGATCCGTAAAAATGTAAATAATTTGTTGCAAACTTGTTTGTGCCTTTGATAATGACCTTAATCTTGTTAGGTCATTACCTTTGGAAAATAGTAGTGCTTTATATTATTTGAAATCTTTTTATTTTGTAAAAGATTATTATGCCAGTTATTGTCAAATTCAAGAGTTACATCTTTTTATTATTTGAAATATTTTTATTTTGTAAAAGATTATTATGCCAGTTATGGTTAAAATCGAATATACTTACATCTTCGTTTTTAACCATGATGGAAGTTCAAGAGTACTCAATTGTTGAATTTGAATTTAATTAGGGAAAGCAAAGAATGAAGTTCTATATATAAAAAAAATAATAAAATAAAATATAAAAAATAAAACTGCACAAGAGCTAGTGGAGGAAAACGTGTATGTCGTGAGAGAGAGAAAAAAAAAACTGAATTTGACAATACCCGAAAAATAGCATAATAATCTTTTACAAAATATTAAACAATGTTTTCCAAAGGTAATGACATAACGAGTTTATGGTCATTACTAAGCCACAAACAAATTTGCAACCACATATTTATATTACTACGGATCAAACAGGGATAAAAAGAACGAATTATTGTTGTCTTCTTCAATCAAACATGCTGAAAAACAACAATCATTAAACTTAAACCACCATGCCACCGACAACCGCGATACAACCAAACACCTATGCGGGTAATTCATTGTTAACAAATACGTTATAATGCGGTTTCGGTGAGATTTTTGTGAGAACAAAAATCTTAAAATTGGAAACTGAATAATACGATTTGATGAACAAAAATTTAAAATCAAACTTTAGACTGGAATATTGAACGAATTAGTGAATAATAGTGACAAATTTGCATGAAAGTTTTAATTTTGGATGAAGAAATGAAGAACAATGAAGAACCAACAATGAAGATTATTTTTTGTTTTTAATTTTTTAATTTTGATTTTAAATTTAATTTTGATTTTCTGAAATTAATGATTAAATCAAAAAAAGAATTTTTGAAATTATAAAATATGATTTTCGAAAATTAAAAAAAGAATTTCAGAATTTAAAGAAATGAATTTTAATTAAAAAAAAAGGCTTTGAAAAGTCAAAGATGACATAGCTTATGACATCCAATTAAATTACGCCATGTCATTAAGCTTGTGGTAGTGACTTTTCAAAAGGCTACCATAAAATCATCCAAACAAAAAGGAACTTTTGGTGTCTAAAAAATATACTCTGTGTGACTATTAATTCAAGATCATACTCAATATCTGCAATACACTAATACTCTTTGTATTTTATTTTTAGTTTCAATATATCAGCAAAAATAATGCACCTACAGATGGAATATGGCTGGCAAGTAAAGATTACTGTAGAAATTTTTTTATAAGAATAGAGTGTAACATGATCTGGTAATACAATAAAATTTGTTTAAGAAAAACAAGCTAATGAAATGCTCCCGGGATTAACAAGCGTCATCAAGCTCCTTGGTCTAAAATTCTCACGCCATTGGTATTTGGTTAGGGTCCTTGTTTTAAAATGAATATTACAAGTCTACAACAAATTTCCATTAACAACAATTTAGACAAAAGATGATAATGATTTGAAAATAAAAACAGAACTGTCTTTTCTTCTTCTTTTTTTTTTTGGCATCATTGAATGATAATTGATTCCTCCGTTACTAAAATACATTTGACACTTTTAAGTATTGAATGATTTGCCTTAACATCTTCAGATTCTTGCACTTTTAGGTATTGGTATTGAATGATTTGCCAGAAAACGTACTGCACCTGTTGTAGCAAAGATGATCACGCGTTTTCAGTCCAAGATGAAGCATAAGTAGAAAAATATTGGAATGTTTTCAAAATTCAAATTATAAACCAAATTGAAAATAAAAAATGCATATCCCTTCCTTCTGCCAAGTAACAAAATAATAGCCACACATTTCCATTCAATGATTAGAATAGTATCATCACATGATCTCAGTATATCACAACTCATTAATACGAAGTAATTGTTAAATTTTTTCACAACCAGAAATTTAAACGGCTTAACACAGAGTTGCATGGGCGACGCTTGAAGATCCCAGCAGCAAGCTAATGTGGTGGACCTTCCCCCTTAAAAAATAAATTTAATATTGTTGTGGGGCATTGGCCCACGTATCAGATATTAAACTAATAAGAACAGATACTACACTTGTTCTTAGCCAAAAGGCCGAGAAAGGTACGATTTTTTACGTTTAATCTCTTGCTTTTTATAGCTTGATGTTGCAGCAGGTAAGTTGTTTTGTGCCGATGTGGTACATTTCTTCTATTAAGGGTTTTGTAACTTTTGTTCACTGCAAACTTCAGGAACTCAGTAATTAAGAGCCAATTGTCATGGAATTGCTAATTTTTTAACTTGTTGAAAGAGGCAAAGAGCCAATGGTCATTGAGATTACTGAAGTACAAGGATAAAAATGTTAAATTAGCCATTGAGCCAATGGTTATGAGATTGCTATTTTATTTAACAGCATGATTAAAAGAGAGAGGTTTATCACACATAATTGCATATACTTGTATATTTTGTATTATTTTGAGGTGAGACTACTTACATTTATTTGGAACTTTTGATACTTTCATAAAAAAAAAAAAAATATAAATGTGTTTAAATAAATTCAAATGATGGATATTGTCTTGACATGAATAATCCCTAGCTTCATTTATTTGATATCAATCTCAAAAAAACTGTGATGGATGAGAAACCAGATACTTCCAATCGGAAACCAATTTCATTTAACAAAATAGGCAATTTGTTACAAAAAATTCCTGGAAAGATATTACATCTCTAACTTGTAGGATTCGATAATCTTTCCTAATTACTATGCCTATCAAGTAACTGTTATGTTTAGTTTCATGCCCTCTTTACAATAGTTATACACACCACAAGTGAAGTAATGAGATCCTGTACAACGAAGAGGAATGAAGGTTTTTCCTGTATGGTCTTCAAATATGACATTGTCATTATTACAAGCCTCGAAGTTCTTAGCTGTCACCTCTTGCACTTCTAAGCCTTCTTTATAGTTAAACTCTGCACCATGAAAGACCCAACATCATAAACACAACCATTCTTGTCTGATAGTTGTTTAAGTATACAACCACATCGCCTTCATATATAAAATGTCGAAGATAAATACCAAATATACTATCAAAACATCGTATTGGTCAAACTTTTTTTATATTTCAGGTGTTTAATGTCTTTGTCTTGTTTATTGCAAAAAATGTTTTAGGGGATTCCCATATTGTGAATTATTATCGTGCATAAGCAAAAAAAATCCATCAAAGATGAGGTGATAGTATTGTGCACGCATCATGAATTAAAAAAAAAAGGGGGAAAGGAATAAAATACATTACCAAGAACATCACCCAAATGGAATGTCTTTCCAGCAGACCATGCCTTGTAGTCAACATTTGGGTTCCAACCTTGTTCATCACCCACTCTATAAACTTGATGCCCATAGATTGATTGAACCAACCCCATAACAAGGAGCATTCTATACAATAATGCCTTGCTCATTATGGTGTTGTTTTAATGGTAATGAAAAAAGTTGTGAATTTTTTTCATTTGCAGCTTGCTCTTGGCAGATATTATATTTATGCATGCTTATGACATAAATAGAAGCATTGTTCAACTTTGTGCAAATTTAGCTGTACTTTGCCAATATTTTGTGGCTATACATAGCTATATGTCTAATTAATTAATTAATCACTTTGGTTTCCAACCCTTTCCATGCCTTTAATAGCATAACTTTGCTGGAAATCCATGAGTTGTTCAAATCCCTCTATATATAATCATTATAATGTAGTTTATGAATCAACACCGTACCTATTCAACATGTGGTGACTCAACGTTATATATTAACACCTACTTAATATGTGGTAACTTGATGTATATTCGTATTAGCATGCATTGAAAATTTTAAAAATAATTTTTTGTACAAATAATTTACTCTAATAAACAATACAAATAAAAATTCAAGTTAACTACATGTAGTCAGGGGCGAAGCCAGGATTTTAAAGCTACAGGGGTCGACAAACACTTTAATAAAAAATTAATGTGAAAACGGGCTTGATCCTAGGAACTAATTAAACCCCAAACAATGAGATTCAAACCACTACGGCAATCGTTAAATACAACTTAAGTTATAACAAGAATATTACTACTCCCTCCGTTTTTTAATAAGTGTTTTCACTTTTTTCACTATTCACATAATGGTTTTGACTTGATTAATTTACCAATATATAAAAAAAAAACAAATGTCATTGTATAATACATTGTTAGATTCGTTAAAATATATTTTATAATATCAACTTTTCTATAATTTTAGTATTATATAATTACATAAATTAATGGTCAAACTTGTGCCTCGGCATGCTTGTTTGATCATATTGTAACACTTATTTAAAACACGGAGGGAGTACATTTGTTTCATATTATTTGCAACGATTAGACATTTTTTCTCTCTACCTTATGTCAAATCGTTGCAAATAATATGAAACGAAGATAATATTTATTCAAAAAAACTTATAGGGGCTAGGAGCTAAGATAATAAGCCACGAAATTGGTCCATGGAGGCTGGGCCTCCACCCGCCCCCCATGTAGCTTCGCCCTTGCATGCAGTATTACATTAATAATAGGAAAAATTGAAAACAATAATCCCACCTTTAACAAATATGCTCAAAATAATCCCACCTTTCTGAATTCCAGAAATAATCCCACCTTGTACCCCTATCTTCCCAAAATGATCCTTTTACCGGTTAATAATATTAGTAACCTGTTTTAGAAGGTAACTTGACACTTGTCACCTTCTAATTGGTTCTATTTTTTAATAATTTTTTTTAAAAAACAAAACGATTAAAATTAAAAAATAAAAAATCTCCCACCCCTTTATCAGATCACCACCACCACCATCATAACCCCCTGCTACTACCCATCACCACCATTTGCCGCTGCCCCTTACCACCATCACCACCGCCACAACAAAGTCTCACCTTCCTCTGCAGTTGCTGCACCACAACCCACCACCACCAAGTGAACCCACACACTAAATCACCACCAATCGCACCAAATCGCCACCACCGCACGAATTATACCCAGATTTGCGCGCCCGATGCCACTATTGTTGACGGCAGTAGGTGGAGCAGGAGTTGTTCTTGGTGTCGTTGTGGGCTGTGATGTGGATTTTGGAGTGAAGGTGCGGTTAATTGTTGTCGAATTTTGGTGAGGTGGAGTGCGGTTTTGAGTGCGGCAACTAGAGGAGCGAGCTGGGTTGCTCTGTTGGTGTCGCGGGACTGTTGGGGTTGGTTGTTGCGAGGTGAGGGATTATGGCTGCACGGTTGTGGGTTGCAGGGTAGGAGATTGCGAGATGAGGGATGGTGGCTACACGGTTGTGGGTTGCGAGGTGAGGGTAGGTGTAATCCCCCGTATTTTAAAAATATTTTATAAATGAAATTTTATTTTATTTATAATATTTATTTGTTATTTTCCGGAATTTAATTTCAAAAGTTTCAAATTGTTAATCTGGGTCGAAAATTATTTGAACAAATTATTTTATGCACCTTTATTCTACAATTTATGTCCAATCAAACAAGCTAACCCATTTGTTTACTAAATTGACTCATTATTTTTATGAGGCCTAATCTTCCTTTTTACCCTACAATAATTCTCTCCTATAAATATCCCATGAATCTCAAAAATTTTCCCACACAAAAAGGTTAGTCTTATTTTCTCCTTTGTTTTATTAATTTGTAGAATTATAATTATTGATTTATGGGTTTTGATTTTATTGTTTGAAATTAATTTAATTAGTATCAAATTGTATTTTGATGATTAAACTTTATAATTTCAGATTTTATAAATGTCATAATTTTCAGATTTTGTAAATTTTATAACCTAGGGTTTTTAATTATTGAAAATCATGATTTTAGGGTTTTTATGAACAATTGATTTAGGGCTTTTATAGTAATGATGTTTTGAAATTTTGGTGATTATAACTAATGATTAGTTTAACTTAATTTCAGATTATTTTGAACACTTAAATTCGGGTTTTAATTTTTAGATTTCCGTTCGTTAATATTAATCTCGTTTTAATCCCGATCAGGTTCTGAACTCATCCGATTTTGATGAAAAAGTAGTGTTTTCCATGTGAAAACAACGTTTTAAGAAAGATTCATTACCTTTGGTAATGAGCACCACCCTCTCGTGGCCAAATTCAGCCTCTACATATGATTTTCGGGCAGTTTTTAATTTTAACGAAGTTTTTTTTATACTTAAAATATTATCCTTGAGTTTGATTAATAAAATTAATTATGTTTAAAGTTAATTAAGCATAAATATATGTTTTTATTGAAGTTTTAAGTGTTGAAAATATTTTCTAAGTACTACTTTTGATGTTTTATAAAGAGGGTTCAATCACCCATTAAAAAGGGAGATTATTAGGGGTTTTTAAATAATTTTAAGATTTTTATTAAACTTTAAACTTGCTGTAATTCCATGTATAAGAGTGTATTTTAAGGTTTTTATGAAGAAAATTTAAAGAACTATATATAAGCCTTTAATTTTAACTAAAGGGAAGGTTTTAAAGTGTTGTTTGATTTGGATTTTGAAGGTTTTAAAGTAAGTTAGTATTGCTGTAAATTTGATTGATTGGGTATTGATTGAATGTTATTGTTTGGTTTAGGAGATGAGTTTATTGAAGGTGATTTCTAGATAGTAAAGTGGCATACCAATTCGTTTATTCAAGGTACGTACGAGTTATGAAAACTTGCTTTTAGGTGCATGTTTAAGGACGGATCGAGAACTTAGTATCATGTATAGGGATGACTGGGTTAAATTGTTTGGTTATACATTGTGAATTTCATATGATGTGCACTATTTTATATTGCAAGTATTATTTGTGCTCTAATTATGCAAGGTGCGCTTAGAGGCAAAGGTATGTGATTGGTGTAATGATTAATTTATTACTCATTCATGATTATGCAAACAGGATGAGTAAAGGAAGAATTCAAGTCTTATAAGACGAGGTTAAGGTTTTGGGGTGCCTTATGCACTCAAGGTGTTTATACACCGAGGTAGTAAAGGAATAAATAATAAATGTTGTTCGTCACTAATAAATCAAGATTTGAAATTGGAAACTTGCCTTGTTTGATTGAATTGTGTTTGGAATGTTTGTATTGTTATGCATATGAGTCATCACCAAGTCTAAACCTTTAAATCACGTAAAGTGCAAGATGGATGAGCAATAAAACTCTGGATTGGTGCACTTCTGAAGTAATGACAATCAGGGGTTGGGGTACACGGGGTATTAGCCGTGTACTTTATCGAGGTCGTCTGATCTACGAGTCTCCTATTTCAAATAGTTTTTAAAACTAGGATTTAGGTGAGATCTCATACTAACTACGGTCACGGAGTCGCGCCCGTGGTCATTGGATGTTTATTGATGTTTCCGAAAGGAGGCATGGGGTTTTTCTTTTATTGATGTTCCAAATAGAGCATGGGTTGGACAACCTTGTCTATTGCAAAATACAATGAATAAAAATAAAAATTTTTTTTCTGAAGAGGTAATCAAATACCAAAGAAAAAAGAGAAAAAGCACACTACAAGCTACTGAACGAAAAACAACAGCTACCTAAGGAGGGACAAATCGTGGCATGGCCACACCTCTAGTATCCTCCTCTAAAATACGATTTAAATCTACCGGAATATCATTATAAAATATAAGTTGAGAGTCTTGAATAGCTCCGCGGTTGGCCAACTAATCCGTCGCTCGGTTCCCTTCACGATAAACATGTACCACTTTCACTTCCCATCTTTGTTCATTTATCAAGCTCCTGCAATAGATTATGTCGTGAATGTTTTCTCCTCTTGGCACATCTTTTTTGTGAAGTGCTTGAACACAAGCCAAATTGTCAAGTTGGATTTCTAATTTGGTTAGCTGCAAGTTCTTTGCTATTTCCAATCCCCGAGTCAGAGCCATTACCTCTGCTCTGAAGGCAGAGCAGTAACCAAAATTGCTCGAGAAAGCTGAAACACACTTGCCTGCATAATCTCTGATGATCGCGCCACCACCAGCAGGACCCGGGAAGCCCTTTGCCGCACCATCACAATTCAGCACATACCACCCAAAATCAGGCTGACTCCAAGAAACATTCACTTGAATACGCGGCTGCTTTGTGCTGCTGAATTCTTCTTTGTTGCTCACCCAAGATCTTCTTGCCTCCTCATATCTTACTTGAAGAAAAGCACAAAAATCAATGGGAAGCTCATCTCTCCTGTTAAACACATAGCAGTTGCGCCATCTCCATATCCACCACAATGTGATCCCAAAGTAAACCACCCAGCTTTCAGCATCTTCATGGTCTGGGTCCTTCATATTTTTCACTATCCAATCCCTAATGCTTCCATTGTAAAATTGATTTCAAATCATCGGGGTTACTGTCTTTCTCCAAACAACTTTTGCAGCTGGACAATCTCGCAATATGTGTAAATTAGTCTCTTCATTTGCTCCACAAATGTAACACTTGGAATCATCAGTTAGTTTGCGCTTAAATCTATTCAAGTTCCCCAACAAACG